ACATTGGCTTTCCAGAAGTGATGAGCCTCAGCCCAAGTCGTAGACCACCGCTATAAGCCACACGTGTTGCGCGAAACGACCACTTTTATTTCCCTGGTCGTTCGAAAAGTAGAGTTGTTTGTGTATCGCTCCACTAGTCATCCCATGTTTCTAGCCCATTAGGGTTAGCCTTTGATTCTATTCGGCCCATGAGTCAACCCCTAAACAAGTTCTAAACGGGTTCTGGTCGCTTGCACAGGACACTCATGCCGTCAGGTACCCCTTAATTGGTGGTTGGTTTGGATTGGCTGTTTCAGGATTTCAATCCAACTCCTTTTGACACCAAATGGGGAAAGTACTTCTATCGTCTAAAGCGCCAAAGCCACACCACCAGCTGGGGTAAGGCGAACGTGGGTAGCATCCAGCCCATTTGTTACGTCGCCCAAAGCCACGTGTCCAGGAGCTCTCTTTGGACTGGAGTGGACGACTGCACACCTTTTTCCAGAAGCGTTGGGGGCTTAAGCTTCGGCATGCAGCGCCACCCGGGCGAAGCAAACCCACACTCTTTAAGGGAGATGCAGGGAATATATCTAAATTGCTAGACCAAAGGTGCGCCGTCTTTCTTTCTTTTTCCCCAAGAGCTGAAAGCTTTGGGGTCTCAGCCCAGATAGGCTCCGGGGTGGGCGGCCCTGAGGTAAGGTTCCACGAGGGTTCCACAAGGGTTCCACCAGGGTTCCACGAGGTTCTGCGAGGCACCGCATGCTGTTGGGGATATTACCTGAGCTTCTTTTCTTGGGGGGGGATTTGCTCTTACACCGAGGTCAATACTACATGACCTCCACGAATTATGGAGCGAAGCCGTGGCGGAGGGGGAGGTGGTTGGGCGCGTTTTCCAATGCGTTTTGCTTGCAGGACATGAGAAGGACGACTACATGGGCGTGGGCATTGCCTTCCCAATGAGGCCGGGCGATTCAAAGAGCGTGGCTCAGATTGTTGACCCCAGATGAAGAAGACCCTTGAATGGGTGTGTCTCCTTTTAGTCGCGATCCGGATCTGTTCTGTGTGAGGGTACCCCCCCTAGAAAGACTCTATTAATCCGGTGTTTGTTCATTGCAAGTCAACACTATACCCAGCAACTTAGTTGAGCACGGTTTTAGGGGACCCCCAAAGTGCTGGTTTTCCTTTGGGTTTCCCTTTAAACCAAAATTAGGGTTCAAGACCTAACCCCAATCATTGCAAGACGGTCGGAAAGGTTATGACGAAGGTCCTTCGAGCTGCGAGACTGCTCCATCAGAAGAGTCTCGGACGCGGGGCTCCCAGAGCGCTTCGCTTTCTTCGACTCACCAGAAATGACGCGCCACGTCTCCCTGGGGTTCCAAATGGCATGTCTCCCTGCGCCTTGTGGGTCACACGCACACAAATGCCATGCCCTTTCATTAATTGGTCCCCCTTGGCTCAACTACTGGCAACGCGTTCTTAGCTTCTAGTGGAACCCAGGCGTTTTGCCACTATAGTTGGCAACCACCAGCCTTTTTCCTCTTGGCTTTTAGAGGCGGGTTCCCTTGGTTACCTACTACACAAGTTTGGAATCACTGGGAGAGATAAACAAACGCCGACGTGCAGGGCTCAGTTGCGAAAGTCGAAGGCTGAAATTCTTGACCCCGGACCACTCAGACTCCCAGGTGTTGCAACCTCGTAAACCCGGCGATTTCAATCAGAACCAACTCAAGTGGCAAACTACAAGTGGATCAACCATGGTTAGAGCCTAGGGGACCTTCAACCCCAACAATTCGGTTCAGAGTCCATCGAATCCGTCGGATCCCGGCCGGGGACTTGCATGAACTTCCAAGGCGCTCCCGCGCGTTCAGGCCGCGCTTGCGACGGTTCCCATGTCGCCCGAAACGGTTGGCACGGATTGATCAGAGCCCTGAAAGCAGGTTCGAAGAAGTGGGGCTCCGATCTTACGTGGCTAAATGGGCCCCTGAAAGCTTGCAGCAGATGATCATGCGGAAGTAGCATCCTAGAGAACTTTGTTGGTGCATTTCTTCATGTTTATAAAGACGGCAGGCCCTGGAACCGTCACGGCTTCGTGGGGTTGGGGTATACGGTAGACTCCGTTTAAGTTGATTCTGACTTCATTCAGTGTCGTGCTGTGGCAAGGCTAGAAAACCCACACTTGTCCATTTGGATTCGGAATCCTTGGATCACTAGTATATTGCAATTGTACTCAAAGAGCCCCCTGGAGCTTGAGGAGAAGGGGGCTTGGGGCACGCCACCGACACAACTCGCAGAACCCTTGAGGGGCATGGGGTGAATGAACAATCACTGGTGAAAAAGCACAAATGAAGACATGCTCATTCACTTTTGGTACCTGGTCGCTTTCCATGGCTCAGGACCCTTTGAGGCAGCCATCTAATCCAATCGCATTGTCCTTTGCCTTGAATGAGTACTTCCACGTACAACAGACACCGATTGCAAGCATGAGGACCATGTGGACTCACGAGGAAAGAAACAAAATACAGAAACAGTGTGCGCGCCAAGGAAAGATATACTTTCAGACATGCATTGCAACAAAAAGCAAACCGTGACACAAAAGAAGCGGACTATCTATGGTAGCTCGCTGCCCTTTGCAGGCAAACGGGATCTAAGTCGAGCTTTTCCCTTTGAAACCTTTCCACAACGGGCGCCCTCAAAGCAGGAAACAGTTTTCCTTCTGGTTTCTCTTTCAAAGACCAAGCAGAAGGGTGTTCCCTAAAGAAAAGCGGACCCATATTGACCAGCTCATCGAGTTTGGTTTTTGGGTTTCCTGAGTGGCCCGTTCCCAAGGGCTCTGTGGGAGGGTTTCGGGGCTGTTGGGGCTTCTCTACCTGGGGCTTACGTGGAAAAATACTGTGGATGGACGGAATCTTGCCCCACCTAAGAATCCCAGGAATGATTTCCTTGCAAATACCAGCAAATAATGGTTTCCCATGGTATCAAAATGGTATGAGCGTGGTGCAGGATTTCGTCCATCCACAGTATCACATCCGGCATCCAACGGCACCTGGTTTCTCCTCGTAGGACCAGTCTGAGAGCCCCTTCTGGAAGAGCAAAGCCCGCCGGAGGGCTCAGAGGAGAGATTTTCGCCGGGGGTGTCTGTTGGAGATGGTACACCCCCCTTTTTTTTGGGGTCGTGTTCAAGGGGAAGCAACCCAAGCAATCCAAGCCACCCAAGGGGAAGCAATCTTGTTTTGTTTTTTGGGGGGGGGTTGTCTTCAAGGGGAAATCCAAGGAATACCCCCCTTGGGTTTTTGGAGTTCCAGATCAAAAATGCAAACCACTCTGTCTTTGGTGGTTTTACTTGGGAGTGATTTGGCTCGTATCCAAAACCCCAAAGGAACTCTTTGTACACCCTTGACCAACCATCACTTCAGAGTCTTCAGACTCATAGCCGCCATCGCCTCTGCGAAGCCGGGGCAAACGTTCTTGTTCTGCGCGGAAGTGGTTTCTAAACCCTTCTTAGGTAGATCATACATGACTATGCGGGAAGCATATTGTGAATTGTCAACGTATTTTTGTTTGGGAATCAAATTCTAGAGAAGAATTGCCTTGAATTTGGCTGTTTGCAAAGTGGAACTATTCCGGTCTTGTGTCATTTGTGAATAGTATATTCAAGGCATATGTCGTATAATTCAGGATGATTACACTGTTTGGCTTACCAAGGCAGGAACGATGGTAAGCGTGCGATCTTTCTTTACTCAATGGACTGTTATTCCTAAAAGTGTTCGGTTTTTGTTGGAGTTGATTTGCGTTGATTTGCGTTTACTTGCATTGCATCCTCTTGCTGGAAGCTTCTCAAATTGCCTACCTTATGATAAATTATTGTTCGGGTATGCGAGCGAGCGAGACCTTGGGATGGCGTCCTATGCCGTGGGCTGAGGTCACAACCGCATGGTGTCACTTCGATTGAGGCGCAGATCGGCGCGGCGTTTGTGGGCGGACAACCGCATCGTGTCGGTTTCTCACTCACGACGTTCCTGGACTTCAACCGTTTCGGGAAGACCATTTCGAAAACTGTTCTTGGCCCATCCACTCAGGAATTGAGGTGTACTGTCCTGATGTTTCTCTTGGTTTTTGAAGGGTTGCCTTGGTTTCCATACAGGTGTCATACATGGACAACATCCACGCCGATCGGCACTGGTTGGACTGGATGCAGCTCTTCGAAATCCGACAGTGCACTTTGTCCATCTGGAAGAACCCAGGATTTGACAGAACCCGTTGATCCTAAAAAGGCACAACCCCAATTGGCACAACAGGATGGGAACCTTCCCACTTTGGAGTTGCACGATCCCACAAACAATCAGCTGGGTTCATTCATTCACTTGTCGACATCGTGGGACAAGCGATGCCATCCTGTTGCCCCCGCTGCCGTATGTGGCAAGACGCGCTCACCAGAGAGCTTGTTCAGCAAGGAACACCACTTGCAATACAGCTCCTGATCGATATTTAAGCCATGAGCAGACTTCAGGCGGATGAATGAGGGCTCCCTAAATGTTCCCCGTTTGATGGTTTCTAACATCATTTTTTGGGCCAGTTTGAGAACAGTTTTCGTTTGGCCGGGTGGTGCATGGTTTTAAACATGTGTCTTTCTGGGCACTATCCCTCTTTCCTTCTGCTACAAAACATCCCAGATGCGTTCCCAATTGCACCCAGTCAAAGCTTTATGTGAAGTTTAGGGGCCCGTTCCAGCCATAGGTACGGATATCCGCTCTTGAAGTCTTCACGTGGTGGGTAGAACATCTCAATGCCTGGTTTGAGAATTTGGACCCCTTTTGGCATTTCATGCGGCGTGCTGTTGCACACCAACAATGTTCGGGGACTGATTCCTATTTTGAGAAACACCCCTTTGAGGGATGCCAAAGTACACTTGACTAGGTTTTCCTCCAGGAATTCTGCTAGGGACCGGTCGGTTCCTTCAAGCGGTCGATTTGCCAATCCGAACGGCGAGACCAGGGAGCCCTCAACTCAGCTCACCTCTTGCCATGGCGGGGTCTTCGGAAGAGTTGGAGGTGCGCCACGAGCGAGAATCTGGAGCTGCAACGAAGCCAGACCTCTTTGAACAGCTGCGGATCTAAAGCCCGTTCCTTACAAGCACCCGATGAAACACTTTATTTCGCGGTCATAGGTCATAGACCTGTTTTACCAATCTTGGCCGTTTCATGGCTCTACCCCTTAAGCCACCGAGCCACCTTTGTAGGAAGCGGACGGAAAGCACTCCTTTTGGCCACTGGATGGTTCCAAACGCATCCTGGGCTCTCAGCCTACCGAGCCTTCCTTTGGGCTTCCCTCACTTGGCGGTTCTTTTTCGCGCGGCTCAAACATCGGAGTTCAGCTTGAAGCAAAGGATTTTTTGGGCGTTTTTCCGTTGTTTGAAGGGAAGGCTGGAAAGAAGCCAAGCATTCTGGGGCGTTCCCCTTTTGCGAGGCACGCCCAGACGCATCGACCAAGTCAGCAAACAGCTGAACTTTCTGCAGGGAGTCAAAGACTAAGAGCAACACAAACCCTTCAACAGACATGTCACGATGTTGACAGAGAAGCCAAAAGGACAAAGGGAAGCCAAAGGGGCTCATCAGTGGGGGGGTCCATATCCCGTTTGGATGTCTGAAAGGTCTAGGATGGTTCCAATACTCACAAGATAAACTACCCCCAGGGATTGAATGGGCTAGAGAGCACTATATAGCATCTGTATAGAGGGTTTACACGCCAATGGGGGCAGTGGTTTGGGGGCAGCGTAGACGATTAACAACTGTTGTTCCCCCCCCCTGCAATCAACATGCAGCCCATTCCTCGAAAGGAGGCTCCTCTACAAAAGATGGATGTGTGGGTTGCCGGTCGTGGGTATGTGCCATGCGCCAAACGAGGAAACCTTTGAAAACTTGTGGTTTCCTTTTGGCTTCCCTTTAAATCAAGGATTTCCTGCATAGGTGGTTATCTTCGTATTTGTAGGGTTTCATCATGTTTCATCCCATCCCAAGTGGATATTGTCCATCCACCCATCCGCGGTAACAAGGCCCCCCCTTCCCATGGACCAATGGACACCTGAAGCCCATCTTGCAGACTGACCGAGGAAGAGCAAGAGCTAGAGGAGCGCGGCAAGAAGCACATCGAGGATGTCACCGCGGCGGTCACTTGGAGTTGGAATTGAGTTGGTCACTTCAGTTGGTCAGGAGATTCAGTTGCAACATGCTGCAACTCAATCCCCAAGTCGCTTCAACGAAGATAAACTGCCGTGCACAAAGGGGAAATGACTGGCCTCCACTCATCACGAAAAATCCACGTGGGTGTGGCGGAAGTTTCAATCCTATAATTACTATGATTTGCGCTCTGTTCCCCGTCTCTCTCTCTCTCTCTCTTTTTCTCTCTCTTTTCCATTTATCGTGCTTTTGTTCAACTTTCTCTTTTTTTGATTTCTGTGTTTATGTTATTAAATGTTCTTGTTTTTTGTTGCTTGATGTTATGTTTCCTGGTATTTGTTACTATAATGTTGATTTATTTTTGCATTTACATGTCCTATCATGTTTATTTCCTTACTCATAGTCTTATCTGTCCTTATCTTGTTCCTTATCTTTATCTTTCTTGTTTATTGTTGGTTGTTATGTTCGGTTTATTTTTCTCTTTCTCTTATTCTTTCTCTTTTTATGCCATCGGTATCTTCTTATTTACCATTTTCTTACGCCACACCAACGTGCCACAAAGTTCCATTTGCTTATGCTTGTTGATTACAGTTTCCATTGTTGGTTTTAAAGGGAATCTATCACTACTGGAAGTATGCGTTGTTTTTTTAGGGGGCTTAAGCAAATAGAAGCCTTCAACACCACAACAAGGTGCCACAAAGTTCCATTTGCTTATTTGTTTACAGTTTCCCTTGTTGGTTTTAAAGGGAATCTATCACTACTGGCTTTATCTGCCTCTTTTTCTTTCAATTTCTCTCCTCATCGTCTTGACATGTTTCTCTATACGTCGCTTTCCTATTGTCTTTCCCGTTGCCTTTATTCTTCTTGTGTTTCCCTGCATCTTTCAATGTCTCTTTATTTGTTTCTCTCTCTCTCTCTCTTTTGCTTCCTCTTTATCTTTCTCTTTTCTTTTGTTCCTTGTCTTCTCTTCTTGATTTTTCTGCTTGACTTTCTCCTCTTCCTGCTGTACATGTTTGTCTGTCTCTTTCTCTTTATTGTAGTCCTTCTCCTTCTCCTCCTTTTGGTCTTTCTCCTTATCTGTTCTTTTTGTGTCTTTTCTCATTATCCTTATCTTAATCTTTCTCTGTCTCTGTCTCTCTCTCTCTGTCTCTCTCTCTCGCTCTATCTCTGTCTTTTTCTCTGCTTTTGCTCTTCCGCTTCCTCTTCCTTCATGTTCCTCGTTCTTTTAATATTTCAGTTTCTCGTGGTTGTTTACTTTCTTATTCTGCTCTTCGTTTCCGCTCTGTCTCTTTCTGTTTCTCTTTCACTTCTTGTTTTGCTCGTCTTTCTCTTTCCCTCTCTCTCTCTCTCCGGCCCACAAAACTACTTAAGGACAACGAGCTTTTTTAGGCCGACCCCCGAAAGTCTGCACAGGGTTCATCTTTTGGCTGTGCAAGCTGAAACGAACGCACAACACGAAATGTTTGAGGTTGACCCAAAGTCGCGCGAGCGAATCAACAGCTATATTTAACAAACGCAACAAACTACCAAGACATATATATTTTTTCTGATCAGAGGGTTTATCGATTGAAGTCTGCGAGGCAGAGCGCGCGGCCGTGCCAATGGGCTACCCCCGTTTTCCAACGGGGGCAGTCATTGGTTTAGGGGTAGTGTCTTTTATCGAGGGTAACCAAGAGGACAACTAGAATTCTAGTGACTTCCCCAGAAAAATGACACCCCCATATGTGCAACTATGAGTGACTGATGCCTGCTCGAAGCTGAAGGACCAAGAGTTTTGTCAACCTTCCAGTGGGCCCTGGCTATGGCTCTGAGCTACCAATGTTTAACACCAACACCTCCCCAACAAAAACACAAGACAAGTTTGTTTCCCTTTTTCCCCAACAGCTGAAAGCTATGGGGTATCTGCCCAAATAGGCTCTGGGGGTGGGCGGGGTCGGGGTCGGGCCAGCTTTTACGGGTGGATGTTCAGGAATACCACCCGGGCTTATGGTTTCCCTTTTTTGAGACTTAAAGAAGGCAGCGACTCGAGAAAAGACACACCCGCGTGTCACTTACTTCGTCCTAAATGCTGAGGTCCAGAGTCCAGAACCCGCGAAATACGGTCATGAGAGTGCTTAAGGGAATCAAATCCGCAGGTTCGGGCCAAGCAAGCCCTTGCTTCATGGTCGATACTGTTTACACCACCACCTCGTTGTTCAACTAGGAGGGACGTTCTGTCAGGTAGCCAACCCAACAAGACACAAGAAACAAGCATTCTTCTTTCCACTCAGACTGTTTTCCCACTCCTGAAGGAGCACTAACCCGTGTTGAAACTCCGGTTTTTGAACCGCGAGGCTGGCAAGGGCAAGAAGGCGAAGCAGGTTATCGAGGCAGCTGAACGAGAGGCGGGGGAGCGAAAATTTCGGGTGTGAAGCTGAGCCACCCCATGAGTCGTACCATTTTGCGGGCTCGTCTTCTTGGGAGTTGGTACTTACCTTTCTTTATTTTGGAGGTTTTACAGTGGACAACTGAAAGGAGAACCAAAATCCACGTTGGGGTCCAGATCCTAAAACAAGACACAGCTGTTAATGACACAAAGGACAACCGAAATCCATTGTGGGGGTCCGAATCCTAAAACAAGACACAGCTGTATTGTGAAGCTGTAAGGCGAGATAGTTGGCTTCAGTGAGTTGTACGAAGTGAGGGTTATCCCCGCCGACTCACTTTGCCATGGGTCCAAAATAGGTATCCAAAATGGGTTGCCGTGGTAAATGGAAACATGGACTAGAAACTGAGGTCCACTGGTGGTTCCATTTTCACCCATACCCACTTGGGACAAAACCGGATGTGACGTGGCAGTTTTCCAGCTTGGAAGTGAGGACGAGAGGTTGTCAATCCACTCGCGAATCCGCAAGTGGCGAGCAACCCTTAGGGTTCAAAAAGGCACTGCGCAGAGACGCATGAATTCAAAGGGAGCGCACATTTCGGCGTCAAGAGTGCGAGAGAAGATAGTCCAAGTAAGGAGCGGTTTTTCTCCGGATTCTATGCTGGTTTCCACCACCCTGATTCCCACTTCCTAGGAAGAATGTGAATGCAGGGTATACCGCAATGTGAATGTGCTAACTTCTTCTGAAACAACGGGCGTGGGGGAGACGGGTCCATGGTGCGATGGGTACTTCAATGGGCCAATGGGCATACAATTCACGTGTTGCCTGATTGCACTTATAGCACCCAGTGGATCCCACACTATACTGCTAGTAGGTAACCTACAATTATCGTTTAAGTTTTGAAAGGGTGGGAAGCCCCTTGGTTGCCACACAGAGACATGGAACGGCATGTAACCCTTTGGGCCTTCTACCCGGTTCCGGGGATTTGTCTCTAGGAAACCCTGGGTGGAAACATGTTCGGCGCGATGGTGCTGCACCGCTTCGGAGGTGGAGCAGTGGTTGTACGAGTTGCGAGAGCGCCACAAGGAGGAGTTGGAAGAAGCGGCGCCACAAGAAGCCAAGTCCGAGGAGGAGGAAAGCAAGGTCGACAAGGAGAGGTTGCCAAAAGAAAACATGATGCTAAGTGCACACTCGAGAAGAGACTACTAGTTGGAGGAATCCCCTCAAATCGATCATGTCCTTGCCATAAGGGGAACCAACAGGGCGACTGCTCCTGATTAGTGCGGTCTTCCGGAGGAATCCGAAGTCGACATAACCGTGGACAGAAACATCCTGCACCAGTTGGGATGAAGCTCTGTCAATACTGGATAAGCCAGCTGCGCAAATGTTGTCCGCATATTTTTGAAAAGGTTCCCAAAGAAACCAACAGGAACGGGTCATTTGGTGAAATTGCCAAGACGCCTTTTTAACGCCCGGAGGTAAAGGATGAGTAGCATCCAAACCCCAGGCAAGCTAGCAACAGGTGCGGATATCCGCCCTTTTGAGTCTTACCATGGCTTGGCCCTGTCCCCTGTACCGGGTTTTGATTCGGGCGGTTTGGGGATTGATGAGGTGTTCCAAGTGAAACTCAGTCGGTCTGTGCAGTCTGAGATGAGAGCTTTGCAGCCACGAACCCAGACGGACTCGGGCAACTGCATAAATGGGTCAATCGTTGTGTTTGATCAACTCCAAAAAGGAAGTCCTCGAGATAAAACGCAGCCATATCTCCCGTGGCTCACGTTGTAATTACTTCTGCTGCCGCTTTGGGAAGCTGGCGCATGGCACAAAAAAATGCAGACTGATGGCTGTCCGCCGAAATTTGTCTGGGCGGCTTCCTGTTTCTACAGAACTGCATCCAACCCAAGATCATGGGCGGTGGGTTATGGCACCCAGACACAGTCCCCCCAGCGGCGGAGGCATGGGTATAGGTACCGTCACCCCGTACCAGCTGCCACAAGGCGTACCACCTCCCAACCGTCGCCCCGGAGGTAAGTCCGGAGGATGAGGCAGAAAAGGCCAGGAAGAAGAAGGAGCAGCTTGGAACTAGCCTGCGGGTTTCGAAATCAGCTTTGGTCTTGGCGTGTGTTTAATTTAATTCTGTGAGGGTTCTGTTTGTTTGTGTTGAATGTGTTGCTTTTTGTCTATGTCGACTATGCTGGGTTTGTCGTGTTTGTGTTGCTGACTGTGCCTATGCAGAGTTTGTCGCTGTTTTGTTTATTTGTTGTTTCTTTTTTGTTTTTCCGCGTTTGGTTGCGTTGATGCTTCAGTGAGGGCTTGCACAGCGTATTTGTTGTGCACTCAATTGCCAGGGCCGATCATTTGCCCCCCTACCCACCAGATGTGTTCTCCGAATCCTGCTAAGAGCCCCCTCCTTAAGAAAACATCTAAGAACTCTCTTGGGTTGTGGGGAGCCCCTCGGTTTTTCTTTAATACAGGTGGGAAGTGCCGGCGGCGCTCAGGAAGGCCCAAAAGAAGCGACAAGCCAAGGCCGACAAAGAGGCCACGCGCCAAGCGGGCACTAGGCTTGGGCATTGGTTTCAGCATCCTAACCATGGCACCTTAAAAATGCAACCAAACGGAATATATTCAAAGAAAGCCGTGTTCAACCCTGCTTAAACAGGAGGTTAGCTGAAAAACCTGGCGCCGCGCCTTCCATGCCCTTTTTTGTCCTACAGCCAGGGTGACCCCGCGCCATGTTTTTGTTGATCAAGCAAATACGAGACACAAACTCTTGGCCTACACTCCTTGATTCTCTTCAAGGATCCTTCGGTTCAGAAAATTGGTGTTCCAAACCCGGGAAAATGCTTCTGAAAAGTTTTCGATGGGTGAACAGAATGGGGAATCAACCCCTAGAACGGCGTGCCCCGAATTCTAAGAGAGTCAGTCTCCAAAGCGTGCGCGGACACACGTCCCTGACAAGCGTACACCGGGGTCAATTGGAATTCTTACCCATGCGTCGTACCTCCGAGGCTCAGAAAGAAGCAGACAAGGAGAGGGAGAAGCGCGAGGCGTGCAAGCTGGCTGACATGCAGTAGGGCTGAAGCGCTGGGCGGGACTAGGCCCTGTGTTCGGCCAGCAAGCGGTTAGCGACCTGTGTTTGCTGGGTTGTACCCCCACTTGCGGGTGTGCCCTGTAGGGGATATTGGAAATTCATATTTGCAATCCTTAGTGAGGGACTTCACCCACACTATCGGCTTGTATACGTATATTGCGGAACAACCAGGTAGGCATTTGTGCCCACGCTTGGTCACGTATCTTGAGTGTGCATTGTGTTGTCCATACCCCTTAGGGAGGGAGAGCTGTATGAACAACAGCGCGCCTTGTTTGTTTCACTTATCTAACAAGCGCCCCTAGCCTGGTCAGGACTGGTGGCATGGGTGCTTGCTCCTGCTTCACTGCCATCCACTCGTGTGTTCCTCCAAATGTCATGTGATGCGGCTGACCTGGTCTTAAGAGTCAAGCAACAAATATCAGGCAGGGTATTGCCAGGTTCGCCAAATTGAAACGGTCAAACGTGGTAAGGTGCTTTGGGGGGCAAGTCCCCCTTTCCAGCATTAAGAGGGTAATTTGGGGATGTCTTTTCGCTGTCCCCTGTATTATTTCACGGCACCTGGGATCGCGAGTTGGGTAGCCTTGATCCTGGGTTCCGAGCTTCCAGAAGGTGCGCTTGGGTGTTCAACGGGAAAGCAGGTTGCAACCATGGTTAGAACTGGGTAGGGGTTCGTCCCCACACAAGGGTTATAACCTGCGTACTAAGTTGGTTGAACACCCAAGCAATGACTGGAGCATGCCAGCCAACTTCAAGCGGGTCAGACGTTCAAACCGATTTTTGACTTGGTTTCCCTCAAGCCGTCCAAAAGGGGCCCTCAAGAAAGGAGCCAACCACTTGTTCATTGCCTTGGCTGTATATTACGTATAGCCCAGCTTCCCGTGTTCATTTGAGGTGATTGGCCTTCCTAAGACCAGAAGGCCCTCTGAAAACTTTTGAGTTCCCTGGGTGTCCTGCGTTTCCCTTTTAGGAACCTCAGCACCTCCATGGAAAGGTCTGGAACCTCCAAAAGGACCGCCCATTTCGAGCCACGACCAGTAGAAACGTTTAAGGGCACCAGAGACAGTCCCTTAGTCTCACAATTGTATAGAACCATGTCCCATTTTTTAGGAATCCATCCCATGAGAGAGTCCCATAGTCTCTCAAAAAAAATCGGATGGGATTCCCATGACTCTAGGTGTACCTTTCCTATTCTTTCCAGGGATCCTTCTTTCTAGAAAACCTCCCGAAACCCAGGGGAAAAAACTGTTTTTACAAAAGAACGATGGTTGAAAAGACTGGAATTGGAATCAACCCCCTAGAACTGCTTTTTTCCATTCCGCCATACTGTATACCAGGGGTTTCCCTTGAAAGCCGACCCTTGGAAACCTATGCCGCCAGCCGCCAGGCGGGGCCCTCCGCGCGGGAGCTGGAGCTGACGGCGCTGGCCGCGGCCCTGACAAAGCAGAAGCCCCCGCTGGAGGTGCTGGAGATCCCCTCGGATGGACCGACGCCGTTTGGGACGTGGTCTCAAAATCCGAGGGTTAGGTTCCGGTGAACGTCCGATTCAAGCCAACCACTAAAATAGATTCTAAAAGGGGACCCAACCCAACCACTAAAATAGGAAGATTCTAAAGTGGGTGGTGAATTTTCACCCATCCCAACCAAAATGGGATCCCAAAATGGGATCCCGAAACGGTTTTGAGCCACAGCCAAATGGGTTGGGTCTCAAAAGAGATTTAGACTTTTTGGGTTTAGACCCTAGTGATAAAACAAATCAGTGTGGACTTCTTTTGGCCAACCCACTCAGGAAAAGAGAGAGAGAGTAGGGGACCCTTTTGGGATGGTTTTTCGAGCGAGACCAAAAGGACACCAACCATCTGCAAGGGTCGCTAAGTTTGAGAAGCACCCAAGACCGGAAAAATCAAATCGAAATCCGACTCCCGAATCCAACCGACTGGTCTTTGGTATGTCATTTGGGGTTGCGTAGCTTGGAACTTCTTCCTGGTGTTCTTGTTGCATGACCTGTGTAATTTGGGTGGCTGGTCTTTTGTTAAGAAGATACCCCTTGTTTTGTTGCTTTACAATGTTTTACAGGGAAGCCCAAAGGAAAACCGATCCGACATTTTGGCGGGTCCGAATCCAAACAAAAGACGAGACGCTCTTATACCCGGTGAAACAACGGAACGTTTAATTATGCTTTCGTCCAAACTTTGGAACCAACCTTGAAAGCCACCTCGTTTTCGTTGCTTCAAAGAAAAAGACAGAAGCCATAGGACAACCATACAAAATTCTAGGATAATTGCAGGGCAACGATAGGGAAACCATAGGAAACCAGGCAAAACCAGGGAAAACGCAATTTTTGAGCCCAAAGCGGCAGTTTTTGGTCGTAGGACACTGCCTCTACCGCTCCGTGGCGGACCAGCTGAGACGGTTCACGCATCACGAGTTTACGGAGTCGGCTGATGAGAGATACAAGGAGGCCAGGCGTCCGAGGTGGGTTTAACGGGAAACTCACTTTTTGAGTTCATGGACTTTAGTTGTTTTTTGGGGTTGAACTGGACTTTTGCGTTTGTTGGGGGTTGAACTGGACTTTTGTTGTTTGTTGGGGGTTGAACTGGACTTTTGTTGTTTGTTGGGGGTTGAACTGGACTTTTGTTGTTTGTTGGGGGGTTGAACTGGACTTTAGTTGTTTGTTGGGGGTTGTACTGGACTTTTGTTGTTTCTTGGGGTTTGAGCTGGACTTTGTGGTTTGTTGGGGGTTGTACTGGTCTTTAGTTGTTTTTTGGGGGTTGAACTGGACTTTAGTTGTTTCTTGGGGTTTGAGCTGGACTTTTGTTGTTTGTTGGGGGTTGTACTGGACTTTAGTTGTTTTTGGGGTTGAACTGGACTTTAGTTGTTTTTTGGGGGTTGAACTGGACTTTAGTTGTTTCTTGGGGTTTGAGCTGGGCTTTTGTTGTTTGTTGTGGGTTGTACTGGACTTTTGTTGTTTTTTGGGAGTTGAACTGGACTTTTGTTGTTTTTTGGGGTTTGAGCTGGACTTTAGCTGTTTTTTGGGGTTTGATCTGGACTTTAGTTGTTTTTTGGGGGTTGAAGTGGACTTTTGTTGTTGTTGGGGGTTGAACTGGACTTTAGTTGTTTCTTGGGGTTTGAGCTGGGCTTTTGTTGTTTGTTGTGCGTTGTACTGGACTTTTGCTGTTTTTGGGAGTTGAACTGGACTTTAGTTGTTTCTTGGGGTTTGAGCTGGACTTTTGTTGTTTGTTGGGGGTTGTACTGGACTTTAGTTGTTTTTTGGGGTTTGAGCTGGACTTTAGTTGTTTGTTTGGGGTTTGAACCGTGATTTGTGGCAAGCACAACGTTTGGTTACCTTTTGTGGCCAATCCACTCGATTGAGGAAACCCAAATGACACCACCCAGACAAAGTCATGCCAAGCAGCCTTTTTCGGTGTGTGTCTCAGTGCAGTTGTCCCAGCTATAGTTTTGGATGCATTGTAGCAGATCCGTATCAGGCCAAACCCGTACAGGCCCCCTTTAAAGGGTAGCCAAAAGCAGGTTAGAAATATCCCAGTGGATCCAAGCTTCCACTATAGTGGGCAACCAGCAATTTTTGCTCTTGGTCTTGAAGGGTGGTTCCTTGGTTACCTGCCTGTACAGATAAATGGATTCGCTGGGTATTTGTTGAATGTTTAAGGGGTGATCGCCCGGCAAGGGGTCAGAAGAAGTCAACTGGGAATTATGTTCTTCTCGATTTTGTTTTGCACGACTCAGGAGATTCAACAAACTCGCCCAGATCAGATGGATGCTTTGGGGGTACACGGCTGTTTCAGACCATTCCGCGTACACTATGGGAGGCAGTGGTGTTCCTTTGCTGTTCGACACACCCCACAGAGTATTTATCACCCCAACAAAACTAGGTCCCCCAGTAGTGCCCTTTTACCCTTTTTTGGGGGAGGGTTCCCCTACTAAAATAGACTACAGAAGAAAGGGCATCCTGAGTCTGTCCTCTCTACTGGAGGACCTAGAAAAGATTACCCTCAAAAGCAAATTCATTTCGGAAGCCGCGCGTTTCGCCGCGCGAGGTCCGGAAGATCTGCGCGGAATCCCTGCGCAGCCAGGTGGAGAACTACTCGCCCTTTGCGGAGCTCAAGGAATTGCCACACAGAGACCATAGGTGTCCTGTTTGGTTGTTTTGCTTAACAAAAATAGAAGGCGATTCCTGGTTTACCTGGTGGTTCAATCATCTACCATGGCCATCTATTTTCCAAAAAGGACACCTATGACAGAGACAACCAGTTCCCTTTTTTCCCTTTGAGGGGGTTTTCCTTTGAGGTATTTCCCATTTCCACTGGGGTCTGGGAGCAGGTGACAGTTTTTTGTTGCATCTAGGTTTCAACATCACGCTTTCTTCTGGTGACTCACTAGATTGGTGGCTGGAAACACTTGAGTTGGTCTAAGCGGATGCTACTATGAATAGACCTGCGCAGAAGGTTAGGCTAGGGGACAGTCTCAGCCATTGGTGCGAATGTCTCTTGTGATTATCTACTTGTATATGGGGTGGACGACTTTAATACACAAAGTTTGACCCCTCCAGGTTGATGTGGGCCCCATTTGTACTTTGGATTAACAGGGAGAGTCAGCCACATTGTCACATAATTCCTATTGGGGGAACCGTGACCATGGGCCATATAGTAAGTCTTCACCATGGCACATTTGGTTTTGACTATGACAAAGTCGGATATCTTTTCGATTTGCCAAGCCCCGACCCGTTCGGAGCTTGAAGACGGCAGGTTGCGTTTGTTTTCCCGGCAGGTAATTATGGATGCGTGCATGCCAACAGTATGAGCTTGAAAGCAAGTAGCTTACACTCTTATACACAAGTGGTACATGTTCTCCATGCCTCCAAAGTCCATCCCAAGATCACATCAAGTGAGCAGCACCACATCTCCCATCTACTCCTGGAATAGATAGTACCAGTTTCCCATTTAGACTGAGGAGTATGATTTCGAATTGCTGAAGTAGAGGGTAGCAAGGAAGGTTCTCCTCCAATGCATTTACATTCATTTTAAGAGACACTGGTTATTTGAGGTGTTTATGATAAGTGCATTTATAACATGTTTATTACTTGTCTATACACACAGATACTCAGTATATATGTATATATGGTCTGCATGTTTTCAAGGCAGATCAGGGCGTATCCGTTTGGCCAGGAGGGGGAGGACTTTGAGGGCTACTGCCGTCGCGTGGAGAGCTCTGCAGATTGGGGCGGCGAGCTGGAACTTCGGGCGCTGGCGGATGCTTTGAAGGCGTCTCGGGAATTTCAGAGCGGAGGTTCCCCTTCCTTTGGTCGCCGGCGGATCCATTGACCTGTGAAGGGAACCAAGGGAACCAGCCTGTCGGAAAGCGGATGCATTGACCTGAGGCAGGGAACCAAGGAAAGCACCCAATAGAACAAGAGGGACACTTGTTGGTTACCTAATATAGTAGCTGGGATCCAACGAGAGAGGTTGAATTGCTGACGGGAAACCAAGCTGCCAATAGACAACCACGAGGAAATTTAGCTGGTGACCTACTATAGTGGCTTGCCTTGGTGCCACTGGGCCTAGCTTGGTGGCTTGGATTGGGGATTCGAAGCCGTGGTAGGTGAATGGGAAGCCACCCTAGCCTCACACCAGTCCCAAGCACCAATGAGGGGGAAGCTGATGTCCCACACCTTCAGCATGACTTCCCTTGTACGCAGTGCCCGAAGGCTCCCTGACACAACCCATGCCATCCATGCAATATGATATACCAACAGTTAGGCCTGATTGGAGGGCGGCGGCTGGTAGATATTGCATGGAGTGGGAGGTCTCCACTGTGGATCGAGCTAAGATGGAAGCCCATACCAGCCAGTTGGTGCGGGAGTGTGTCCACCCTAAACATCACCTTTAGGCCGTAAGCTGAGCTTCCTTTCTGATGTTCAAAGCTTGGAAGTATGGGTGTGTTTGTTTGAAGGTTGCACCCCCCAAGATGGATTTATGTTGTCCCTTTTGGGTTTTACTTTAAAAGCCACCGACAAAGGGGGGGTGGTTCCAACTCAAAAGAAGACTTGCTGGTGCTCAGTAGGGAATGACCTATGACCCTGAAAGGACACCTCGGGATGGTTTTCGGGGGTCATTCCGCTGGGGGTCATTCCAAATTCTCATTCCCCCGACCGATGCAGCCAGAAAATTCGTGCCGAGCCGTCGTCAGGTCCGCATCCTGGTCTTCCAGGCGGGCGCGGAGCCCTTGGTGCTCGGGGAGTCCAAGGCCAAGACCAAGCTGCAGGTCAGCTTCCACCGCCGCTGGGCCAAAAGAAGGCGGGCGCGGACCTTTGCGAGAACTTCCCGCGGGAGAACTTCCCACTTCATGGTGTTTTTTTTTTTTTTTTGGGCAGGGGCGGGGGGGGGGGGTAGGGTTAGCCAGCAATTTCATGAGCTTTGGGTGTATTATTTTAAAAAGACCCCACACAATAAGACATCTTTTGGGAATTAGGCCTCGTTGAGTCGACGAGAGCTAACCCTGGATTTTGCATGTGGGCGTTATGCACCCCTTGCGTACCTGTAGCTGGTGCCTTTTAGAGTCGTTTGATGAAAAGGAGTCAACTCTTAGCCTCTTTGGCATATTCCAAGATTCCCCGAGTCAAAGTTTAGCCTCTGATTGAACAGGAACAGATGTTCTTGTTCCAGTTTTCCACATCTCACACCGTTTTCCCCTTCAGTATCCACTATCATACTTGCAGGTTCTCAAGGGGAATGCCCTCCTGCCAACAATAAATCGACCCGAAACAGTGGCGAGCTTCAACCGTGTTCCCGGCAATCATAGCAGGGAACCTCCAAAATGAGATTCGCCGTGCCTTTGGCTTCACCAAACAACTCTAGGGCACCAACAAAGATCCAAGCCCAGGGCGTAATATGCAAGAACATGTGGCGAGCTCACCTAGGGACAGAACAAACTTACCTATGAACGCCTGGTGGAATATAGTGATTTCCCCGGATGGACTTACTATCATTACTTTTGTTTAACATATTTTATGAGGGGGTGCAGTTTTGTCATGGACACCTCGGTCAGCTTACAAGATTTTTTTTTTCTGGTGCGGATCCAGCTGAGGCCGCAATCAACCCCCGATTTGGTGAGATTAAGTAGGGGATACATACACATATAAATATATATATATATACATACATAGGCCAAGCCATCAATAGATATGGCCGCCCTTTTCATTCTTAACTTGGTGGATCCCAGGCAAGCCACTATAGCGGGTCACCAGCCATTTCCCCTTCGGTTGTTAAAGGGCGCTTTCACTGGGTTGGGTGGAGCCCTTTGGATACGAGGTATGGATTCTGAGTCGGCCGAGGCCACTACTACGCCCTGGGAGAGCACTACAACTCCGTGGTGCCCATCGCTTGAGCGCGGCAGTGGCGCAAAAGGAGCTGCATCGGAGCGCTTCCAAAGCCGGTGATCTGACCCTGACCCGTGGCCAATGCCATGTTCGGAGGGATTGTTTTTTGCCGGGTTTGGTTTGGCTGGAGCATTTTAGTGAGGCCAGAAAGCATAATATGTATACACATGCTAGAATCATTTCTGCTTGAATGTATTTTGGCGGAACTACAGTTGCTGGGACTTGAGGCGCTGCTCATGTGATTTCTGCTCCCCAGATGTTGCTCGGAGTGCCAGGCACCTCGCCACTTCCGGCGATTTCGTGGCCCCGGCGCTTAGGGAAGGAACTCAGATGCTGACTCAGGGCCTTTGCAAGCGGAACCATTGCAGCCCAATGTCTACGAACAAACCACGTGTCCCTGGGCACCTTGGAAAAGAAGGATCACTCCATTAGGGGCTGGGTCTTGCCCTTTTTGCCCCAGGGAACCCTACTCAGGGGTTGGTTGCGGGATCTGAGGTGTCGACCTATCACATGCCCTGCGACTTCTCGCACATGCAGGCCCCAAAATTTCAGTCGCCCGGCGTTGGTCAGAGATGGGGACATGGCAAGGGCTGTCAAGAAAACCGGTGCTTCAGTGGCATTCCCCTTTTGTTCTAAAAATGGGATCAACCCCAAATCGGCAGAACAGCATTCCCGTTTTGTAGGGTTGCGGGCCACTGGGTCAAATGCACAGATCGAACTTCGAACACCCTTTGCGACCTTAGTCACATCTACATGTCCACCTATCCAGGTCTCAACATAAGATTCACACCCCATTTTATAGTTCCGTTTCTATCTGCTTTAATTAGGGGGATATACCCAAGACTAGACCTTAAGCGTGTTGGTCCCCAGATAGACTTCACACCCTGGGAATGAAATGGCTGTGGGTCAACACCAATGATACCATTTTGGGGTACGTGCACCACACATCTTACTCTAGTGGGGATTGGGATGTTCACTGGGGGTACGATTTGGGTTTTGACCCATGGCCAAATAGACTTCTGCAGGTGATGGTCATCCACGCCTCTCTGGCGGCGGGCTGTGCATATGAGCGCGGCGCCAAGGGCGAGCTCGGGAAACGGCTTGATCCATCCCACCTGCGAAGCAGGATGTGTCCATCAGTCTGGCTGTGTCTTGGGGATAAGGACAGCATTATATAATATATATATATATAAGATACACATATACATATCAAGATATGATATCCATATTGATATGTATGATAGATATGTATAATATATACAGCTACGTACACCAAAGCCCAGTTTGGCTGAGACAAACCCATCGCGCCGTTCGACACAGTTTGGGCGGGGCCATGCCCTGAGCTGCCAAGCGCCGCGCGCGGAGGTTCGCAGGCGACTTGCCGCTGATCCTGGCAGGGGATTTCAACTTCAGGCGACGTTCGCTTCGATGGATGCTGTTGTTTTGTGTTTTTTGAGGGTACCCGTTTTGGGGGTTGGTTGGAAAGCCCACCCATGTTGTTGTTTGAGACACGCCCATTTGGCTGACCTTAAAGGGAAGATCCCTATAGGCATGGAGCACAGGAAGCAACCCAGCGCCACCCCAATCAACACGACCTCCTGTGGCTAATCATTTTGGGCTATTCGACGGCCGCCTTACACGATCGGTTTGATGTTGAAAGGCGTATTCCTGAAAGATCAAGGAAGACTATCAGCGCCCAACACCCGTGCAGCCCAAAAAGCAGTTGCTGGTGCCGGTAATTGGGCCGATTCCAACCAGCAGCATCGAAGCGCTTGCTGTTTTGAGTACAGGTGTTGGGCAGACCCTGAAACCTCACGTGCTTGGCTGTGGGTGGTCGAAGCTGGCCCAGCTCCTCCATGGCTCGTGTCTTTGCGAGGTGTTTGGCCTGGACCGCCGAAAGTACAGGGTACTTTCTGCCCGGAATTGGACGCCTCTTTTTTGGAACAACCAAATCGCCTTTTTCAAGGTGTTCCTTGTCAGCTTGTCAGCTTGTCGGCTTGACTTCACTCACAGTTCACCTGCCCACCTAAATACGAGATGTTTCAATTACGTATGCAGAGGTTGATTTCCACGCTTTTCAACCAGGCACCAGGCCGTGGCTTGCAACTAGACACCCCAACACCGGTAGAGACAAAGGGAACCCAAATCTCGGGGCAAGTTAGCTTCAAGCTTCGAGGGGTGGGGGAGGTTGAACGTCACCCAGGAAGGTTTCTTTCATATTATCCTCGATTGGTGGATTGTAGTTGCCTCCCACCATTTAGCATGGAACGTGACAAAAACCCGGTCGCTCTAGGAAAATGGTCTTCCAGGACCCCCCCCCCCCCCGCGTCAGGTTCCACGTTACTTGGTGGGTCGTACTAATTTGACGAGAGATTTGCGGCCGATTTTGAGCTGCCAGCGTTCGAAGGCCGGGATCTGCTCCCTACGAACTTCTGACCACCGGCTCTCTCCACAAGGAGTTGCGGCTTCCGGCTTCGTCATCTATGGAATGCCAAGCAGAATGGGTGGCTTCGAGTTTTCCGGTGTTTCTTGCCCAAATTGCAGAGACACATCCTGGAATCCTTTTGAACTATTCCTGAAAGCTGCTCATGAATCAGCTGTAGGAAAAGAGACACTGGTTGGATTGGGAAGCCAACCGCTTGGGCCCATTCAGGTTTCCCCGAAATTGTCCCATAGGTAACCAGGATTGTTGCCGCTAGGCTGTTCACAATGATCTCCCGTGGCTGCCTAAAAGGGGTGCACGGAATCACTGGGGAAATGCATCCAAGTCAGAAACTCTTCCACGCCCTTCAGCACCAAGCCTTGTCAAAGGTGGGTTTCGTCCATCCCTGGCGTGTGTTTTTGTGGATCTAAGCATCAGTACCACTGGCGGACAGTGGTCATGAGGCTCCGGTTCTCCGATGCATCGCGCCTGGGTTCGGAGTTCTGATGGATGGGAGAGCGTTCTCACGGATTCGCCGTGCCCCACATTCATCTTGGTCCTTTGGGGAGGTACGAAGGCCCAACTGCGTAGTTGACAACAATCACGGCATCTTCATCTGCCACTGTTCAGCTGCGAACTAGCGCAGGGCTCGCGCCCTATTCTCCCAGTCTCAACATATTTTTGGAGTACCTACCGCATTGCACTTCGGATCAACGTCATCATCAATGGATTCCCCAATGAACTAATTCCACCATCAAAAGTGTTTTCCCATGCTCCTAAGTGAGGGCATCACATTGGGACTCTTTCCTTTTGAAGAACCCTCGAGTGGCTGGGCTTGGCTGAGCGGCTTATTCCTTTTGTTTCCTTTATGTTGTTTGAAGGGGCTTCCTGATTCCAAAAAGGGTCTCACTCGATCGCGGAGGAGCACTTGGACTATCCGGGAACCATCGAGGCGATGGATTTGTTGTTCGATTTCCGGAAATCGACACGTCGTGGATGCCGTGTAGTTTTGTTTTGTATTAAGAAGAAGGTGTCCTTTGAAGGGGTTTGGTGGAACATAGACTTCACTGTTCCAAAAGTGCACCTGGTTTAGCTGGAGTCGCGAAATAGTGACCCAGACACGTTTGTTCGAACAGGGGGACTGTTAGTGGGTGGCGGCAGGGTCCCAAACAGATGGAATAGATGCCCATCCACAGTCTGATTTGAGCCTATGAACAAGTAAACAAAAGCAGAAAGCAGGAGACAACAACATTCTGATCGTTGGGTTTCGGATACTGGGGGCAGGGGGACTGGATCTTGATCTCAGCCAATCCAGAAAACTGAGGGCTGGAGCCTGGCCCGCGAGGGCCAAGTCTTGAGGAGCCGTGGGTCCGGGCTTGGGCTGCGTGCCGCGCCTCTCCTTTCGGGCTGGCTGGGCCCCTTCCAGTCGAAGATTTTCAGGGGGAAAGATGGAAGGAGTGCCTATGCGGAGAAGCACAAGCAGGGTGAGCCAACCTACACCAACTTTGCCTGGAACAAGGACAGCTGCTTGCATCCACTCTGCACCAGTTGATGTGGTTTGTCCTATTATTTACAAGGGTTTCATCCATCCCAACTCCCAACTGGTGCGCGGTTTAGTCCACAGTATGTTAGAATACTTCCTGTATTTGGCCATGGGGCATAACCTATGGCTCCATGTTGGGGTGGATGAACATCCATTTGCCACCTATTTTGATGTTCACCAGGGGTACAGGGTTTTGACCCACAGCCATTTGAGTCTGTGGCAGCCAAACAACTGATCCCTGGCCGGCTTGTTCGCACTCGGCATGCCCATAGATGCACGTGGCTTCAAAACGCAACCGCGCCGTTCTCTCTCAAGCAATGGGTTCAGCCGCACATGGGAGTATGAAGGCGCAGAAACAGAATCTGTTTAGATTTATCTTACCGAAGTTCCCCTGAGACTTCCAGTCCCTTCCAACTTTGCAAGGTGTCCCTGAAGCATCACCTGGACTAGATCTACAGGTTTCAGAGTCACCAATGACAAGATCATTTTGTTCACTAGCCTCACGAGGTAACATTAGGAACACGTGTTTGCCACCGGCAGCTGAGATGTGCGCCTTCGCGTCCCGGTCCCGGAGCCGGCATTTTCGCGCCCCAGAAAGGTCGGAAGAGCCCATCGTTGAACCCAAGATCTGCTCAAGTGTGTTTCTACAGATCCTTTCTGACGGCAGTTTCTCGTCCGGACAGCCGAAGTCACCATGGTCTGCTTCTTTACGTTGGTTGAAGAACCATAACTTCAGCGGATGTTCGGATTTTCGTGTGGCGCTCGAATGTGCCCAGCCCCGAGAAATGAAGCCGGGGGCTGCAGGTCGCCTATGTGTTGACTACAGGCAAGCCCAACCCGGTTAGGTGTGTGTGGGTGTCTTGTAGCAGGTGATTGCCTTTGCCCCTGAATTGGAATTCGCAGGCCTTCCCCGGCTTTTCGCGAATTGCGATTTGGCAGCCCGTGGCTTCAGTTTTCGAGTTTCCCAAAAGCATTCTGCCGCTTGTCTTCGCGCGCGAGGCGAGGCTATGCCGGCGAAGGAGGGGCCTTTAGGTAAGTCTTTGGGTTTGTGGGTTTACATGAGGGTCTCCTTTGGTTCGCTAACCACCAGTGGGTGTATATTTTTTGAGGGTACCCATTGTTTGGCGGTTTTATTTGATTCCCACAAGACAAAGACACCGGCAAACGAGTTACTTGGCTGTTTGATTCGCATTGGAACCAAAGCAAAGTCAGCCGCATGTGGCGAGTTTTAGCTAAACCCCGTTCAAAGAACAGGGCTAGGAACAGTCCCCCTGTTTGGACAAAGTAAAGGTGTTTGATGTGAACTGTTCAATACAAAATCATCCATGGCAAGCCGTGGGAGGAAAGCAAGGGTCCAACTTATGATGTGATCTGGCCGATCGGATAGCACTGCAGGACCAGATCTGGTGGCGTGGGGTGGTGCCAGCTCAGTTGGCTCTTTGCTCGCGAAGTTTGGCGCTGAATTGGGAGCCCCACTTTGGGAGGTGTCCCTTTGGTTTCCCGTTGCCCAAACGCGGGTAGCCCCTCACCTCAAGAGGCGGGGTTCCACCCCGGACGGATCCGCTCCCCTGATTGTGGAAGTACGTTTCGACGATCAAGACTTCCTGCTTTCAGACCAGGCATGGATGATCATGGATGCAAATCAATGCAGTTTTGGAGGAGGATTATAGTCCCGCAGAAAAACAGCTTCAGGAGGTTCCTACTAATTGTTGAGGCCTTGTTGGTCTCTTGTTCATGTGCTGGTGTCGTCAAGAAGTTGCACTTTATGAGTGGCATGGTTGGTTGGTGGCGAGGTGCCTTCAGGGGAACAAAAACCACATTATTTTTCTCTATATGCCCTTGCTATCAACGGGTAAACCCCACACAATTCATGGTAGTATACACCAACATTTGACCCATTTGGAGGGTACATGTGGATAAATCTTGCATGGAGAGGCCGCCTACGTCAACGTCTCGCCAGGTGAACATTTCCGATACCTTCCATAAGCTCCATGGAGACTCTCCGGCGCCTTGTCTTCATGCAACTGGCAAGAGGATTTGAAGCGGGGGCGGGGAAGGGCAAGTGTTTGTGTGCGTGGATAGGGTTTGAAGTTTGAACCTGGAGTAGGATTGGCTTGCAGATTGTTCAGCCGTGGTCCAGCACAAAGACTTGGCAGCAAAGTGATTTGTGGGATGCCCTGCACGTCATGAAAGGGGAACATCAGCCAGATGTGCTGTCCACAGGGACAGAAAGAAGAAGGATTTCGGATGCCAAGATCGGCTCTCGACCCTGCAGAAAGCCACTACGGTGCCGGGAGCTTCGATGGGGAACACTCTCACAATGGGTTGGGTGCACAACATCCCACCAAGACCGTGTCCAAGGTCCCCCCCCAAAAAAGAAAGGCATCAAATTCAAGCACGCGCATACGTAAAGCTTCAAGCATTGGGGCAGAGCCTGCCACATTTCAAGCCTTGGGGCTTGAGCCATGAGTAGCACTTGATCCTGGGGTTGGTATTGCTTTGAAACGTGCGTCACAGGAGAACCACCAATTCGGGGTTCACCTTATTTGAGACAGAACTAAGTGCATGACGCGGCCAAGGTGAAATCTTTGCCAAGGCCGGGTGTGCCGATGGCCACTAACTGCAGTTGTGGAAAATGTGGGTGTTCCAAACCATTTCCGCGATATTAAGGGATCCCTTTAGAATGACAAAGTCGTTTGTAGCCAGCGTTCGAAACTGCGGAGAAGGTTGCTGATTTTCCATCAATGTGCCTGGTGTGGAAAGATGTGGAGAGTCTGTGTAGGCGAAGACCGCAATGGCAGTCCGTTTCCGAGTTCTTCGTCAGTGCCTGGGAAGCAACTCAAGGAAGAGGTTATGGCCGATTGATCGGTCCGTCAGGGTTCTTCGTATCTGAGCGACGCCCAGAAACACGACGATTGGCCCTTTTACTAGGTGGTACTACTCGTTCAGGACAAGTTCATCATGGAGTTGTTAGATTCCATTGGAACCCAAAGATTTGTTTTTTGGTTCTCGGTTATATTCGCTTCCAAATCTTTGCACACATTGCTCCCTTCTGATCCTAGCATGTTTTGGTTTTGAATTACCCAACCCCATTCCAACTGTTTAGGACCGATGATTTTGCACGATGTTGAAGGCCTTGCATGATAGATCCTAGCCAAGAAAGCCGCTTTTCGAAAAGCTCGAGTTTCTTAAAGGCTTTGACTAAGGGCGTGATCAACACAGCCCTCTGGTTGTTTTCATCGGGGCCATCGAGCCAGAGCCCGGGTCTGATGGAATTTGAAGCGTCAGACCACGTCCGTTTCACACCTTACTCGTAGAACTCGGGATGATAAAGGTTTCCGGAGGGAAACCCGGGGTTTGCATACAGTATTGCGCCCGGATCGGACCCTTGGGGTAGACAGCAATTTATGGGAGAGTCTTTTGTTGAGGGTACCCCTTTGTTGTGGTTTGGAAGGGAAACCAACTACAATTTTAGTGGGTCCGCTAAAAATGACACCTGCTGGGTTGCTTAGCATGGCCGTGGCTTTAGCAAGTTTTGACCATCCCAGTGGATCCCAGGCATTTTGGCACTATAGTGGGTAGCCAACAAATTGCCCTTTTGGGTTTTTCTATTGGGTGGGAAACCCCTACATTTACCTACAAAACCAGATAAATGGAATCACTGGGCATGGACAAATGCGTTTCGCATGGGCTTTATCCAAGGAGCACGAGAGGAAGCTGCACAGGAACAGCCCGGGTTCAGGCGAATGCCAGAGAAGGCAGGGACCAGAAATCCACAGAATCTGACGGATCGGGGGTTCGTCTTGTTCCCCATGGGTTTCAATCTCACCTTTTGAATCCCTATGTGGTTCATTTGGGTGGGATGACGGACACATACGGAGCTTTGAGGGTCCCTTGAGAAAAGTGGTCAGCTTCCGTGAGCTCTCCAGAGCGCCTCCAACTCGGGGGTGCCATTGGTCAAAACCGAGGGAAGGTGAAGGGACAGTGTCGCCGAGAAAGTCTGTGCGCATATCCAAGCAGTGCATGTTTCACGTTGCTAGTCACCTTTTTCTCACGCTGAGCGTCCAACTCGAGCACCTTGGTGGCGCGTAGATTTAATAGGGACTTGGGTCCTTTGAAAGGGTCAGTTTGAACATCGATGCATTCTCCGCTGGTTTCAGTTTGTGAGTTTTCTTCTGTGGATTCCTTCAATGAATTCTATGGACACGGCTCTTGCGCAACCCGTGCTTGAAACGCTCGCAAGCGGCGCAGGGCAAGTCCCCGGGAAAGTTAGCAATCCCTGTGAGCCGAGCGCAGAGTCCGGGCCGTGAGGCTCCCAGTCTCCGACCGCTTAGTCGTGCCCCTGTTCTTCCGTGCTTTTGTTTTTATGTTTTTTTGTAGGGGACTCCCCTTAAAGATCAACTACCAACAAAGGGTGGTTTTTTTTTTCCCCATGGAAATCCACTGGTCTGTGAACTTGACAGGAACGTAGACCTTGCATTCACTCAGGCAGAATTCCCAAGCCATTGCCGGCTTGAGAACACAGTACAATAAGTCACTTTGTGGCAGCATGAAGTGTACACCATGCACGCACGTTGTGGTTCTTGGGATGTCAAGATGAAAAGCCTGCATGAAGACATGTTCACTTCAGGAGGCAAATTTTCTGGCTGGAAGAAAACCTGCCAGCTGACTGAGAGTTGTCAACTGAGCTCCCTCCCCGAGTTCCTGGACTAGACAATTCGGGTGACAAACAAGAAGTCAGGACTTGGACCAATCCACTCGGGACGTGAGTTTATGAAGATCAGATGAGGCTGAAGTCGGATTTCACTTTTTGCTTGCTGGGAGTCGATGACCGCTGCACTTTTTGTCTTTACGATGCGCTGAGGTGGGAGTATTCGGCCGCGTTCCGTCTCGGGCTCGAACGGGCTGCCGTTTGAAGTTCTGGAAGGGTTGGGCATTTGGACCAGCAGTCCTCCGAAGCGAGCTGAAGCCTGTTTGGAGAAACACAGGCTGGCTTCTTATTCACCTGGCCGAATACCCAAGGAAGGACGGAACCTGCTAATCGTTGCATACAAGAACCCGGTGGCTTGTAATTGTCTCCCGAACTCCTGATTGATCCGCGGGTGTCTGCGTTAGCATTCCTGGAATGGACTTCACTGCCACACGCCTTTGGCTCCTTAGGCCACTGGCGTGAGCAAACGAGGTTCTCAGCCGCCTGGCGCCCAGATGTCTTTGATGCTCGTCCTAATCCTGAAACTCCTGACCTCTCGCCTCCCTTGCACACTACTGAGTTCCTGAACTTTGTCACTTTTTGAAGGAAGACCAGCTTGGTGGTAAAATGACAAACAAACATCAAACTTGTTTGGGCCACTCAGGATGCGATATACGGAGGGGGGGACGCTATGCATGTTCCCTCAGCCACAAGGGTAACTCTAAGAATGAGGGCTCATGATTTGGGGGGGGTACCTTTCAGAATTTAGCTTGTTTGTATGCTCCGAATCTTTAAAAGGGTGAGCTTCAATATCCGTTTCCCCGATTCATTGCACCTTAGTAGCTGCTGACTCTTTGACTTGTTGATTTTCCCTTTCAACCATGACAAGTGTCTACGTTTGCGCAGTTTATGGGTATTTAACAATAGACGTGTCCCAAGTTCCCCCAACCCCCGCACCCCCTGCAACATTACAAATGTCCCCATTCCCCATAGCCCGGCCCCCCCAATGCTAAACTTGAATTAGGCCAATATTACAAAAGCGACAATGTGCCGTTGAACCTGACTGTACTTGCATTGAGAACAAGCTCTGCTGGTGTGCCCGGAATTGCGCGGGCTCTCGCAAAGGGAGGACAAGGCGGGATTTCCTGGCACCTTCCCTGGTAACCCTAGTATCCCTTGGAGCCTATTCACATTTGTTACCCCCGAATAATACATGTATAGTGAGGGAGCCGGCGGAGGACCGTGTTTGTTGTTATAGGAGGATGTGATGTATTGAGGGCAAAAGCTGATGTGTTATCTTAGAGGTTCGATCGGTTTTGCTGAAGCCCATCACTTTGGGTTTAGGCAAGCTCAGTCGACCACGGTGCCACAGCTCCGTTGGCAACTTTCACATCCTTCGGACTGCGTCGCAAATGACTCAAAGTTGCTTTCTCCTCTTCTCTCTCACTTGGGGATGCCTTGAAGGTGCCAGTGGCCAAAGATCTTGATTCGTTCCGTTGTGAATTGTAGAAGAATGGGACGAAGGAAAGAAGGGATGAAGCGTGAGGAAACTGCAGTGACTGGATTACATACTCGTTTCTGAATTTGCGCTGAAGGAGGGGAGCCTTTTGGATTGTGCTGAGGTCTCGAAGTGAGCCGGTGATCCGCCGGAGGCTTGAGAGGGTGTGGTCCTTCTGTAGCCTCTCAGAACCCCCAGTGACACCCATTCCCTTTTCCTTTTGGCGGCTTCTGCACGCAAGAGTCGATCGCTCCCCGAACTGGGGCTCCTGATTTCTGCCACTGCACAACTGGGGCCTTTTTGTTTGAATGTCTCAAGATTTGTACCCAGAGATGACCCCCGCCCTTTTGGGATGCTCCTTTTTTTTTTGTGTGTGTGTTTTTTGCAGAAGACCCCGCTGTAGGTTTCACGCATTTTCACGCGGGATGTGCCGATGTGCCTTCCCCGTGCTGCGTGCCAGGCCCCAATCCGCCCCTGCGCTTCTTCGCAACGACATGTGCCTGCCCGAGAGACGAGACTGGCGACTGGCTCGCTCCCGGGTTCGGCATGTCGAAGAGGAAAGTCGACCATGCTTTAGTTAACTCCCACAAGCCTGGCTGGTTGCACAGTTGCCCCTTCAAAGGAAGATTACTTTGCTCTTCGAGGGTAATGGTTCGGAACAGTCAACCGTTTTGGGGGACTGAATCCTTTGAGCTGGTGCGAGTGAGTTGGCATTCAGATTCGGGCTAGGCCTGGCCTCATGCGGAAGACTCACGAGGACACCGCCTGCATCTGAAATGAGCAAGCTAAGTTGAGGGGGCAGCTGGAATCGTAGCTGCGGACAACTATCCGTTTTGGTTCTTTACCACGGGTTTTGTAAATCGCTTCGCCAAAGCTTGATTGTGGTGTAGAGTTTGGTGGTTTATGAGATGGCGGGCACCTTCCCTTTTCAAATGAACTGGGGTGCAAATCCCCAAGCCCCCAATCCAAGGCACCAATGAAGCCCAGCGCTTCCAATTGCCCCTAGAGGCAACCAGGTGGTACCCCTAGGTTTGCCAGGATGGCTGCGCCCTGGCTTTCCCCTGGCTACCTACTTTTGGCCACTGGAAGCGCTGGGAAGGGTAGTCCCTGACTTTTGGGGGTGTGCCACACGGACACCCGGAGCCGTTGCTCGACTCTCGACTCTCGACTCGCTCGACTTCGCAGGACCCGTTGCGCCAGCACGTGGAGGATGTCGCGGTGCAGAAGCGCATGGAGTGGTTGAAGCGGGAGGGCCGCACCAAGCGCGCCGCGCACTGAGCCGGGGGAGGTGGGCTGGTCTTTTTTTGGGAGGCTCGGAGCCTCTGTTTGTGGCTGCTTAAAGGGAAGCCATGTTTGAAGTTGCCGTTTTGTGTGGTTAAAGGGAAACCAAAAGGAAGACCGAAATCCATTCTGCGGAGTCCAGTACCTGAAAAAGACGACACTCACGTGAGGCATGGGAAGCGGAATCCGAAAGAGAAAACCACCCATTTTTTTGGTTGGCGCTATTTTGCACGCATATACGAATTGTGGACAACAGCTGGAGGAAATGCGGGGTGCAGGTGGCTTCCCTGTAATTTATTTTCGCCAAGGGGGAAACAACCCCATCAAGTTAAATTCAACCATCAGGTACGTCGCTTTGGGTTTCTGCCCCTGAAGAGGACAGCACCTGTACGGATGGCAGAAAGACAACCTGAGGCACGAAGACGGAAGGCCATCAGCCACTCTTTTTTGGATCTTTGGCTACTGTTTGGTAGGATCTTTAAGCTATATTGTGTGGGACATGTGGCATGTGGGTGTGACTTGTTTGGGGTGGCTGTAAAGGAACACCGACAGGAAACCACGTATTTTGGTGACCCCATTTCAACATACACACATGTGATTTCCAAGCAACCTGGGGGGGGATCAATAGGCTGGGGATGGGTTCCTGAGGACTTCATCGAGCGGGTTGATGTGGATGCCTCGGGTGGTTGTTTGCGACCGGATCGCCGTGTCTATTTGAAGGCTGGACCACCAAAATGGTGGTTTTCCTTTTTGGTGTCCATTTCAAAAAGAAGCACCAACAAGGGGTGCCCTCAAAAATGATGGACCCACGTGGTGTGTGTTCGGGGTGCCAGATGGCTCCAAAGAATCCCCAACAGCAACCGGGGCCCGGAACCCTTTTCGGAGCCCGTTTTCACGCTCGGAACTGGCAACAACTCTGGAGATCTCTGGAGCTTATAGAGACCCCAAAGCTTTCAGCGGGAAATTTGTTAATCCTTGTACCGGATGAGGGCGGTTGGCCTTGTTGTAATTGTGTGATGTGGATTGACTGTCTCAGCCATTTCAAACTTTCATGTGGGTGTGGGTTGAAAGGGAATCTCAGGGGTATGGGGTACCAGGGTTTTGACCCACAGCCATGTGGCAAATTGGCGAAGTTGCCATTCCGTCTTCAAAGTGATCAGCAGTGAAAAATGATGGGAGTCAACCGCTGTATCACAGGATCAGTTTCCACAGCCACTTACTTGACCTGTTGTGCGCAAATCGATTTGGGGCCCGGGGCTTTGTTTTTTCGGGGACTCCCCAAAATTGTGATGTTCCTTGCGGTTTCTCTTTACAAAAGGGGTACCCTCAAAAAAAGAGACACCCATTTGGGCAGCGGTTGACAAGTTCGCAGGTACTCCGCGCTGTCAGAGTTTGAAGCCTGACATCCCCAAGCTTGATCAGAGTTCCTACAGGAGCTAAGGTTGGGCAACATGTGTTTAAAGAATCAGGCCCTGAGGCTGTCAACCACAAGGATGCTGTTGAAATCAATTGTCCAGGTTTCAGACATCGATTGTTTTACAGTGTTTTGTTTAATATGAGAGCAATGAACATGGTCAAGGCACATTGTGGTTCAAACAATGTGTTGTTGTCTTTCACAAGCCCAGCGCTCCATATTCTCGCCCCTCCCACCGGAGAGGTTCCATGCTAGCACGGTAGCACCTGGGTAGCTGGGTCCAGTTCCTCAAAGTTGGTCTGATTGTCGTGCTGGTTCTCAGCAGGGAATGAGGGAGTGACACCCTACAAACAATCCCATATGGCTTTCTTTGAAGGGAAACCAACACCCGACAGGCAGCAAGTTGTTGGTCTGAGGTGCTCTCAGATCCGATCCTCTTCGACCTCAAGGTGAATCACAACAGCGCCGTGCGCGCCAGGGGTCATAGCCCGTCGAGTGTCGCAGAGCCTTACGGGGACCCAACTCTGTAGGGACACCGTTAAAATCGCGGTGTCCCTGGGATGCCCCTTTTAAACCACAGTTTCGTTTTTCGGGTTTCCCCCCTCAGAAACAAACACAGATTGAAAAAAACGGACCCCTGCTCTCATGAAAACGATTGGTATCACCTTGAAGATTCGAAGGGTTGCGCAGGTTCCATCTTTGTTTTTGGTATGGTACGGAGTAGGTAATTTAACCAATCGAACCCTTTAACAACCAGGAGGAGAACGGCGGGCTGCCTACTGTATTGGCAACTGGTATCCACTGGGCAAAGCAAACAACCGGACCAACTCGAACAGCCAAACAGACCAAGAAAGCAAACAAAGCCCATCCAAAACAATCCAAACAAACAAACACATCCGACCAACGGACCGACCGACTGACGAAATCAACAGAGTGTGCTCCCCAAAGTTGTGTTTCTTCGGATGCTGCACACATGATTGCCCTTTGGTGTAGTCGAGCATGCCAACGGAACCAATCAGGGAGTGATGCTCTTGCTTCTTCAAGGGTTCGTTAGGTCACCTACTCTACAGGTACCCTCCCAACATATGGAACAGGGGTCCCCTCAGGAAAATGGTCTTCCAGGGACCCGTCCCATGTTTTGTTGTTCTTTTCTTTTTTTTCTCGGAGGGAACGTCGAATCACTGGGGTTGGGTTTGCCTTCTGGATCGACTGCCAAGGCCCGCTCGGCGTCCAAAGAGATACCCAGCCCCAGGCCGGGACCGGAGGGTTTCCTTGGGGCAGGGGGTTTCACCAGTTGTGAGGTACCCAGGTGGTTGAGTTCACCTATTTGTTGTTTCACAATGTGTGAGGTTTTTCAAAACTCTGTGTAACCTTTTTGATGGACCTGAGCATCTTGGGACTCACAATGGTTGCCGTTAGGTCGCAAAAAGGTTCCAACGGAGGTGCGCATGGACGTCTCTAATGCAGGGTCCAATGATGCTTAGGGACCTCTTTCCGATTCAGAGATGCTTGACCGCTTGTAACTTGAAAGCACTTGGATTTGGAATTGGGGGGTCAAATGCTGTTCCGTCTGGTTTTTCGGGTCTGGGCGAGTGTTTGACGGAAGTTGTGTTGTCTAACCGCGTCAATTGAATTCCGTTGCCACCGTGCATTCCCAGCATGGTTGTGGAGAATTGGGGTTGAGGGCAAATCTTTGTGATACCATGGGAATCCCCTAAGTCACCAAGTAATTAGTCATGGGATGGGAACCTTAACAGAGGGTGTGTCTTCTTGAGGATACCCCCTTTTGCTTGGTTTTAACGGGGCACCAACAGCAAACCCACCATTTTGTGGGTCCAACCTCAACAAAGACACCAAAAGGGTTATTTCCACAACTCAGCCCCGAACGACGCGATCGCAGGAGCTCAAAGAGTTCGCAGAAGTCTGGCCAGAAGTCTGGTCATCCGGTGGCGGACTGAGCCCAGTGCTTTCTCCCAACGGGTCCCCCACTCCTGACACGTTTTTTGTTCTCTTTGAAGGGTATGATATGTGTTAAATCAACATGTTTCCTGTGGTATTTTGTTTGTGTTTATTCAGGGGTTGAAGAAAACAACAGTCGGTATTCTGATTGGGGTGGGGGGGTAAGTTGATATTGTTTACTTGGATATGCAGGCAAATATAATATTCCTTTTCGGATCTGTTTTTGTGATTTGGTAAGACATGGAGTGGCCAGTGGTCCTAGTCCTGTTGACAAAATGTGTGTGTGTGTATGCATGTCTTTCATGTCAGAGTAGCTTTTTGGGGGTTGTTCCCAAAGAGCCCAAAGAAAGACAAACGCGCCTATGTGCTGTAGTTGGAATACTTAGTCGTCTTTCAAAACAATCAGGAGGCGTCCAAAGAGTGTCCTTGGCGGCCTTTTTTTGGGATTGGCATCCAAAGCTATCAGCATTAGCTTTTCTCTAGACCTTTGTGGGGAGTGTTTTTTTTGGGGGGTACCCCAAAATGGTGTTTTTCTTTTCGGATCCTCTTCAAAACTACCAAACATGTAGGGGAAATGGGGCCCCATGATGCTTGGCAGGATCAAAAAGGAATCATAGGTGTCCTTTGTTGGTTTGCTTGGTTAGACATAGATGGCTCTCGTTTAGATTGGTTTTGTTCCATTTACCCGGGCCATTTTTGTTGCTTACCAACAGGACACCTATAAAATGGGTGTTTGCTCTTCGATCCTTTGACCTTTAAAACGATGAATGATGTGTGCTCCGTTCCGAAGTTGGGACCCTTTTGTGGAGTAACTTGCATTCTTTTCAAAGGGAGACCAAAGGCGAACCCCCAATTTCGGGGAACCCCCCTATGAATCCACCATCAAACCGCAGGCAAGGGAAGGTGAGCATGGGACGGACCAGATTCGTTTCCAGTTGTTTTTTCTTGACCGCTGCTGGTTTTGATTGTGGCTTTGCTTCGATGTCCCCAATTTGTGTTTTCTCTCGAAACTGCGGGGGAAAAACATAAGTTGCCCTTGTTTCGTGGATTGGTGGCTTGGATTCGGAGTTGAACCCCTGGTTCTTATACAGGGCGGGTAAATGGGAAGCTACCCCGGGAACACCTCCAACCCGTCCAACCGGCTTCAGGCCAACCGCGCGGCGGAGAACCTGCGGCGGCTCTGTGGCCTCTCACTCAGAGTGAGTGTTGGGATAGCCAGCCTCCACATTTCTGCGTGCGCGTTTGGTAACATCTTTCATCTTTGCCCTTGACAAATATCAGGATTGTACGATATATGACATATGTTTAGTTAATTCCTAGGTGGAGGGTAATCCACCCCTTGACCAACATGTAGTGGTTGAATGCGGGTTTCTGTCAAAAGGAAAATCATCCTTCCAGAATTGTTCGTTGGCGCGAAATGGATTTCGCAACCATCCACAGATCAATCCTGAACTGGGGGAATCCACCGCTCGGTGCTTCGGAGGCTCCTTGTCCAAAGATACTCGGCACCACTGCGCGCGCATGCGGATCCCAGCCAAAGTGGTGGAGGCCGGCCCCCGAACGAAGGTCATGTACTCACCCCAATAAAGATCCACCAAAGAGGCGATTCCTCTATGATGATGCCTTCTTCTTCTTCTTCTTTTTTTTGCGGGGGGGGTTCATGTTTGCAGAGCAAGATGTTCACTTGTTCGGCTCCAAGCTCTTATTTTGAGTGGTCCCTGTGGGTCTTTCAGGTTTTCCCCACAAGAAGACGGGCCAGGCGGACCGGCTGAAGCTTCTCTTCGAGAACCTGAAGGCCATCCAACGTGGCACTACGGCGCTTCGACCAAAACCGACGTCAACCGACGTGAGAGGCGGAAAGACGTCAAGAGATGAGCCCCTTCAAATCCCAGAAGGTCCAAGTACCTCATGAGGATGGCTTTTGGGGGCTAAAAAGGGGTCTAAGTACCTCCTGAAAAGGTACCAAGGGAATGTCTGGGAATATTGACAGCCAGAACCCCTAATAAACCCGTGGTTGATTTTCCATCAGGGTGCCCGCTTTTAGTGGGAATCCTTTACATTTGGAGGAAACACCACTGTGGGCGAACGAAATCCTGCACCTTTTGGTAGGAGGCTTATCCTATTACTTTTATATGGGTTTCATCTATCCCAAGTGGTGCAGGATTTCGTCCGATACGCAGAGTAGGGAATCAACACATACGACATTGTCTTGTTGGGGAGGGCGGAAATGTACACGCTGAGCTGCAACCCGTTGCACCACCGCAAGGAATGACAAGGAATGTAACCACAAAGAGGCGTGCTGCAGTTTTGGCACGCGTGGCTGTCAACAAACGCGGGGAACTGTATACGCTATGCAAAGGTTCACTACCAAAAGAAGGTGCCAATTCATTGCTGCAGACCAAAATCTGCCCATGCAACAATGCCAGAATTCTTGCAGTCCGGGCACTTGCTGGCCGCAAGCCCATTGAAGTAATTACTGGGCCCTTGAGTTTGGGGTTGACAGGGCTCACAAAGTTTCAGTCGCAAGGGAAAGAGCGTGGAACATCGCTATATGCGGGACATGCGCCCATGTCACGTATCTCAACGGGAACTCAAAATCGGCAGTGTGATAGAAAGGCTTGTTTGTTTTTGAGCCTGGAAACACCAATGTCCCCTTTTTGAGACATACCCATTTTATTCCATGTTTTGTTGGCGATTGTTGCCTGCTAGTGATGTGTGTTGCCGTTGCAATGCAACACGGCCTCAACACCTGTAGCTGTTCACACAGGATTGGCTTGGACGATTGGTTTCCTAATCGGCATCATATTCGGGCGACTGTATTGGTGAGCTCACCTCCAAGCAAAGATGGTTCTTTACTTGCTTGGATGTGTAAACCCATAAGTAGGCTCCTTGGCTATATACGCCAACCAACCCCAGTTATAATGGTTGTAGCCTACCAAAGCAGGTTGAACATCCAAGTCCTCACTGTTCTTGGCACGTTTGTTTGTTGGTTCTCTTCATTTTTGGGGGCCTGCAACAAGGTTCGTTCAACCGTACGGGTTGTGAGGATCCCATGCGCTGAGGTGCTTCGGAAGCAACGGCAGCTTGGCGGAACGGCACATCGGAGTTTGTTGGGCGGGCCTGGCTTGGATAGCAACGTGTCAGACCAGAGGTGAACCAAGCTTGATTGCTGTTGGGTTGGATCTTTAGACTTTAACTTTTTGGAAAATAAAGGTGTTTACCACTAAACCCCCCAAAAAAATAAACTTGTTGCAGGGGGGTCAACAGCAACCAAGCAAAGGTCACTGGGAATTTCGGCACTCACTTGGGTTTGGGGCTCCTATACCGGGGTTTGTTTGTGACTCAACTTGCTTGGCTTGGATCTGCACTGCGCGGCTACCTGCATGAGACATCAAAGCAAGCAGGAGCCGTTTCAGGCTGGCGCGCGAAATGAAGCAATGGTGAAGCTGGTTTGAAGAGGCATTTGTTGCCCCGCCATGTTCTGGTGGTGGATCTCAATCTAGGATGTTGTTCCTTTTACATTTGTGAACATGACATTCTACAAGTCCAATGGTGTCTTACATATCGTATTTTCTTCCAACCAGGCTCCCTCGGTATACGGGTCCTCGCTCCAACAATCATGGAAAAGTCTAGAAAACAGTTTGGGTGTGGTTACCACGCCTGTAGGATATTACTACAGGAACATGAACGGGTGAAATTTACGAAAATCGCGTCCAAACCGTTTTCTAGACAAAGAGGGTTGCTTCAGACGGCATAGGCTGCAGCTTGTCAGACACGTCCCAGGTCGCCGACCTCCCCTGCGCGAAGGTCGCTGACAGAAGACCCGGAGCAGTCTAAGAAGCCGGAAACTGAGACTTCGAGAACACTGTTCCCCCTTAGTATCAAGCTCCCATGATATTTGTTGGTATTAACTATATTTATACATATTATATACTCAGGTTTTTGTCCACAACTCAAGTTTTTGGCCAGACTGGGGGCACTCTGAGCTGACCTGACAGGACGTGCAATTCCAGGCAAAGTCACCCGAGCAGAAGTTAAGCTCAACGTTCAACAGGAGCTCCTAGTTAAACCGCTCGAACGCGAAGTGCACTTAATGTCACATTGGAGTTTGCGAAGTCCACTTCGGCAGCCCCAGCTCAAACAACACAACTTTTCAGCACAAGAGTATTACTCGAAGCATGCTTCGACAGCTGCGCTGCATCGTGCCTGTAACAGTTATTTGTTTTATTATTTTTGTTTGACAAGGAAACTCGGCAAATCATCCACTTGGGGGAAAGGAACTCAATCATACTTGCAACTGACATCATCCAAGTCAAACATCAAAGTGCTTGTTGCATAATCCCATATGCATTCTAACATTTCTAGGTAAGTGTATTTAAGCCAAACTTGCAAAGCAGCTATATCAGTTTTGCGTTACTTGTTCTGTACAATTCAGTCACTGTCAAGAATAATAATTGGAATTTAAGTATGGGAACCATGTGCAAGGTAGCATGATTTCGAGTTCGAGCCAAGTTCAGCTTTAACCGCTTGCAGTTTGTTGTGTGTTTCAAGAGTCAATTGGAGCACACAGCTATTATCATGGGCTGTTGTCCTTATCTAACTCCATGTGATTTTAACCAAGCAAGAACTGAACCAAACCAATAACAGAAACGTGTTTTGAATCATAGATCTTTTGCTTGCCATAACATGCTAGTAAAGCGCGGTGTTTTAAGCATTCGCGCCGATCATGTTGCCCTGGATCGAAGGCCAACTACTCAATATTCCACAGATATCGTTTTTAGAACATCCTCAATCCTGGCCCCCAGAAGCTTGACAGTTTGTTCTAGACTCTTTAAGGTTTTCCCACTTGCATTAAAACATTGAAGATCGCCAGATCTTGTTTTTTGAGAATCGTCCTTCCTGGCCAGACCTCAAGTCTCACAAAAACTGTTCAAAACACATGTTTCCCCCCCTGCGCATTCACAAATTGTCTCTTGGAACGTGCTCTGCTTCTCCGCCTTTTAAGATTCCATACTTGGCCAATCCAGGATTTGCTAGCACATCCTGGATTGAAGATTGAGGATTGAAGGTTCTTCGACAACTCTTTCTGGCATTCTTCAAATATGTACTTCTTTTCAGGATGTCTTCAAATCCATACTTAGGTCAAACTGATATGTGCTGGCGCGTGCTAGCACATCCTGGGTTGAAGATTGCAAATTGAAGAATCCCTGAAAGAGTTGCGAGATAATCTTCAATCTTCAATCTTCAATCCAGGATGTGCTAGCACGTGCTCGCACATCATGGATTCCCGTAAGTATAGATTTGAAGAATCTCAGCAATCCTTGCCAGATAATCTTCAACCTTCAATCCAGGACATGCTAGCAAGTGCTAGCTTCTCCTGGATTATTTCTCTAAGTACTGATGCTACAATTTAGGTCGACAAAAGAGTGCATTTTTCGGGCATCAATTTTATAATCTGAATTTCATGTTACATTCATTTTTTGTCCGATCGAACACCTGAATATATATTTTTGGGGGGTACCACATATGTATATATATATATATTACACTAGTATATATGTTTGGTAGGCCCCTCATGGAAAATGTAGGTTGTGCCTTTTGTCTTGTGGGGAGGGGCTTGGCAGTTTACTTATATCGTGGGTTCTGAAGACTTTGGAGGTCGACTGACCGGGCCCAGCCATGACATTCGCAGGGTATGAGTCTCCCTTGGCCCCCGACCTGCCATATTGTGGACAAAATTCACGCGGGTCTCCAGGGATGGATGAATACTCTGACAAGCCACCAACTGCTGCAGCAGGTCCGGAAGAGCTTAGGAATCAGAAGAACCCCCCTCAAATACTTTCCTTCCAAACGGGAACCACCCCTGAGTACGGTTCTTCGGATGAGCCCGAGGTTTCCCCTGCAAATTGAAGCCAAACACAGCAATGCAGTCCCACAAAAGGGAGATGCCTCTGGTTCCAGTCTGCTGCACTCCAGTTGGTCGTCGGTTGTCCAACGGGCGTTTTCAGTCTTTGATGGTCAGCTCCCAGTCAAGTTCCCCAAAGGTTGACGTGTTCCTCATGCCAACCACATATTTTGACTGGCTCCCTTTACATCAACCCGAATGTAGTGAATCTAGAGCGGGTGCCTCCTGAAAGAAGGGCCCCTCAATCACCCAGGTTACAAATGCGTTTCCTACAAACCCTGTTCCATTGCCTGTTGGAGGCATTTTTTGTCCGCAAGTTGACATGCTTTGCGTAAAGAGGGGGTTGATTTACCTCAAGGATATTTCACTACACACAATGGTTTGTGTGTGTGTGCATGTTCTTTTTTTGAGGGTTCCTGCTTCAGGTCGGTGTTTAAAGGTGATAGGAGATAGGGAGAACCCCGCAAAAACAAACACATCCAAGTTTGAGTTCTCTGTTTGTTTCTCTCTCTTACCAACTTGAAAAGAGTGCCACTACCACATCCAGAAGTCCCTGGTTCATATTGGGGGCATGGGGGGATTCGCCAGAGTTCAACACAGTTATTCAGTGGCACCTTTGTCCCCGTTTGTTGTGCAGCTTCTTCACGAAGAATGATCACACTCCCACGTTCAGGGCTCTCTTTTTCCACCATCAACCACAATCCAGTAATTTCCAGTAGGTATATTCTCGGCATTTTCCTTTTGGCCACAAACAGGGTGGGAACTTTATGGTTACCTCACGCTCAGTGGAACTGGGCAAAAGAACGGTGTTTCTCATTTTTTTGAGGACCCCTCTAGACAGTCGGTTTCCAAATATTTGTTTATCTACGAAAAACGGCTTCCCCTATTTTGACCCAGGACCCAACTCATTTGGTTGCCACCCGACTGGCCACGGCTTCGGATTCCGGGGCGCGAGCTTTTTCGCGTCGAGAGGCCGGAGATCAGCATGGCGGTGGCGGAGGGTTTGAAGAACCTGTGGGGCCCTCACGTGGTGAGCCGGCGCCTGAGGCCTGGTCGGCATGGCTCAGTCCGGTGGAGGCGAGAAACAGGGCTTCCCATGAAGTTCTGGGGGGACCCCACAAAACGGAGCCGGCAGGTGTGTGCCTCCCAAGAAAAAGGGCCAGTGAGTCTGTGTGTGTGCGTGAGTTGTTCCCAATGAACAAGTCAGTTGTTCCCTGTCACTGTGGATGGTGCCGCGAAATCCCCCTCGATTTCAGCAAGGTTAGTGAGTTACCATGGGAATGAACAGAGAACGTTCGTTGCGGTAGTTAAGTTGGGGAATCGATTCAGAACCCAGGGTTGCGAATTGGTTTTCGTCGATTCGCACTATGAGGGCTGTCTTGCAGTTGGGTTGGGTACTCCTGGGCTTGGTTTAAACAAGGTAAACATATGGGGGCCGTCTTCTTTGAAGACACACTGGTTGGGTTATTTAAATTGAAAACCAAAAGGGAAAGGGCCATGTTTGAGGGTCCCCTATTTTCAGCCACACTGGGTTCTTCAAATAGACAACCTGAAAAATGGAGTGTCTTCTTACGGGGTTGCCAATGAACAGAGAACAGTTTGAGAATTACTCACGTGGATGTGTCTTTGTTTGGGTTCGCACCCTTAATGCTTTCTTTTTTTTAATGGCGGGCTCACCGATTCGGGAAGAACAAGCCCATTATGAAGGTCCTGTACTTGCGGCTGTTTCTCGAAATAGGGGTCCCGTAAAATGTGTGGTTTTCTTTTGGTTTCCCTGTAGACACCAGCCAAAAGGGGGATGCCCCATTTCGAGAATCCTATTTCGTATTTCAGAATTGGAATTGTGGTATTGCAGATGCGCGCATGTGTGTGTATACCCTTTCTTGGGCTGGTTTAGTTTAAACGGAAACCAAACCGGAACATGTTTTGAGGGTGCCCTCTTTTTTTTTCAAAGAAAAGTAAGAACGAAGAACCCTTTTGACCCCTTTCTCAGGGGTCATTCTTGGACACATACCCATGTCCTGATTTGTTTGTGGGCCATTTGAGCGGGACGCTAGGGGGACAAGCCACTGTGAGTTAGAGGACACCGCACATGTTGAAGGTTGGACCATCCAAAATGGTTGGTGGACATGAATCCTTGTGTAAGTGGTGTCCAGCAAATCGCCCCGATTGAAAGTTATACTACCCATTTGTATCAAATTGTAAAAGGGACAAGACACCAATCAAGGCGCTGGAAGGTGAGCAAAAAGTGGAGCGATTGACTTGTTCTTGGAGGTATGCCACACTTATCCAAAAGAAGAGAGTGAAAAGAAGAGAGTTAGAAGGACCTCCCCTTTCCACCAGACCGGACACTAGTACTCAGAGAGTGGCAATATTCGCTAGTATTGAGTTGGACAGGCGATAAAAGTGATGGAAGGGTTTGAGCAACAGATGGAGAACCAACAAAAGCCCGATGGAATGGTGTTGAGAATGACCTCATTTGCCTCCCAATTTGGAGGTAATCCTTTTGGTTTCTGTCAAACCCACCAAAAAGGGGGGGGTATACCAACTCCAAAACTCCAAAAAGACACCCCCCAGATAAAGTCAATAAGAATCTCCGGATATATTTTTGGCAAATGGTCCCATCGCAAGCCGAAGCGGGAACAGCCTGAGGACCATCCCCTTAAGTGGTTCTGTTGTTTCTTTGTTTATTTTTCATGTGGGTGTATCCTGGGTTGTTAGGTGTTACTACCCCTTGTCTAGTGGCTAAGGGAAACAAGGGACAACAGAAGCCATTTTGGGAGGGCGCCGAAAACAGCTTCTCATCCGACCTCCGGTGAATTTCTGGGTCTCGACGCACGCCTCTCTGCCTAAGGTCCGGGTGACATGAACCACCCCTTAGTAAGGCTGGATCTGTTGGAAAGTGTCGGACGCAGGGACCCTTTTTCCAGGAAATCCAATGTTTTTGGGGAGAGTATTTCAAAGCTATTGGATACAGTAATCAGGCCGAGTTGGATGGAGCTTCTCTCGCCAGGCTTCGCACCCTGACTGTTCTCGGTGTTTCCTCATTTCCCCAGAGTTCTCATTGCCTTGGGACGTTGCTTGTCAGCTTCACGGGCTGGAGGGTCGGATTCAACCAGACCTCCAGTGCTTCAGGTTACCCTTCACTGGTGGATTGGCGGTTTGGGGAGTTGAACCCCTTGTAGGTGCACACGTACACCACCCGAACCTCCAAGCCACACATCTGAGGGACCTGACGGTTTCCTTTTGGAGGAGTTCCCCTTTGCGAAAAGTGAAGAGACTGTCACAATTGGATGGGTATCAACAGAAAGGGGCTGCCCCATGATCCACCAGGTGGCTATGCAGGGACCCTTGTGGTTGAGTTCCAATTGGGACCCCGTGGGACAAGGGATTTTTTGGTGGACATCACGGACGGGATTGATGGCCACCGGATCACTTTTAAACTATTGAGGGTAAGACCCAGACAATTCGGGGCGGCCTTTGCCATCCCTTGCTTGGGTGCCTTCCGTGATGGTATTCAACATATTATCCTTCATTTGGAGCTCTCACGAAAATGCACGTGGAACTGACCTTGGGATTTTTGTCCACCAGCCACTTTGAGGGTACTTCAACCAATGAACCTCGCAGATTCAATTGTGTTCGCCCCAGACTTTGTCGAAGAAACGAAGCATGGTACACCCAAGTCCGGCAAAAAAGTGATGGTGCAGGTTGGCCTATTTCATCAGCGGCAGCTTCCCCGGGCGAATGCGGATGATTCTAGAGGCATTCGACTGGGCGTGCACTGGCAGCCTGACGAAGCAGGTGCGGGCAAGGGCTCCATTGACCAAACCAGCCTGTCTTCCTTTGATTTTCATTGATTTCCATTTATTTACTTTGATTGCCTGGCTTCCTTTATATTATTTGATTTCCCCAGAAGGGAAACAAGTCTACCTTGGGGTAGTCGCAAAATGGGAACCCTGATTATGCAATTTTGCCATTATAGCTTTGTTTTCAATGCGGCAGGGTGATAAACCGCAGTGAACGCGGTGAATCCCTGCAACGTAATAATCACCGGGGTGGGAATCAACTAAATGGTCTCACAGAGTCTCCAACTTAGGCAAACCCTAGAATGGTGCCCCTTTCATTTTCCTCAAAAAAAACCCAACACGGTTGGGTCTCCCCTAATAGAATGTCTCTGCTGAATTCGATGGCTTCCTTGATGCTTTGCTTTGCTGTGGCTGTGACATTCCTCACATCTCGCAAAGCTTCCCACCAAACCACCACCAAATCACCTCCAAACCAAGCCAAACGAAACCAAACCCAACCAATTGGAGTGAGCTTCCTGTTGGGCTGATCTTCGAGTCTCACCCCGGCGCAGGACTTCTGCGTGGGTTTGGAGTTCATGGCCAGACACTCAAACCTTCACCATGAGTACTCCATGTGGCAATGAATTTCAATAGGGAACCACCTGAAAAGTGAATGGTGGACATGAATTCCCATGTAACTGATGTCTACCAAAAGGTCCCTTATTAACATTCATAGCCATGTAGGTAATTCTCACTTCCTGGGCTCATGGACTTTAAACTTTTTGCGTAGACCATTTCGGTGGCAAACAGAAAGTGCTTGTGTGTTTTTCCTCTCTCTCTCTCTCTCTCTTTTAAAGACCTGTATGGGTGTGTCTTGTTTTAGGGAACCTCCTAAAATGGCGGTGTTTGTTTTCCGTTTACACCAACCCCACAAAGGATACCCTCAAGGAGTATACCAACATTTGGCCCATTTCGATGGTAAATGTGGGTAAGAATTCCCGACATGTGGCCTCGGGCTTGTCTTGGCCTTTGCCTTGCCAAATCCAACGTGACTTGAAGTTTGGTCTTCAGTGAAATGAGGGGTAAACTAACTCTGGCTCAAGCCTTGGCATGGTAGCAAGCAACTCTGTTGCTTGCTAAACAGCTAAACACACGCCGACAACAGAGAAAGGCTGTACAAGATCCTAATCAAGTGACTTGTGGGCGTGTGACCGATCTGTTTCCGACGACCTTGATCAGATTCTTCATACTGGCCCTTGTTGGCTCCGATGTTGCAAATGAAGGAAGTATTTTGTTGAGCAGCGCCCGAAACCCTGTTGGCCGGTTTAGTTAGAGGGCTTTGCTACTCGATTTGACCGGAGCGATAGCAGATTCCGTAGATATTTGGCCAGGTGGTGAGGCAGCAACGCTCACAGACTACATTGCTTGAGTAGCATTGCATGAGTCCGGCCTGGTTTTAACATTGTTACCACGTAATCTCTGGTTGTTTATGAGCATCTTGGTAGAGCCAAAGGTCAAAGTGTCGGCGCTTGAACCGCTGAAGCCAGCTGCGCGTTCTGAGATTGTGGCGCACAATCCGAGGGCTACTCTTCGACAGTAGACTACTCAGATCTGTTCACTATGCTGGATGCCGAAGGACTGAATCGACTTCTTGGCCTTGACTCCTCGACGGAAACGCAGATCCATCCTTCAAACCCAAATGCGGCTGGCTCAAAGAGGCGCCCCGGCCATAGGAAGGGTGTTCTTGGAAGAAATCTGAAGAAATCTGACTCAGTTGGTTGGGAATACCAAAATATGGTTCCATAAATCCTAGCCAGTTGAAGCTCGTACTCGCTCTGGGGAGCCTAATCATCACATCCCCAAAGGCACTTTGGGGACAGCAATGGACCACAACTGGGATCGGGCTGTTTGGGAAGGAGCAGTTGTATGATCACTCCATGTTTGTGCGCATGAGAGCAGACAGTCAATTTCGCCAGGACAAGGACGGCTAGATGTCCGCTGGCTCGAGGAGAGGGACAAAGCAAGGCAGATTTATTCAAGTAGGCATCACCGCCGAGTGTTTCCTCCTTGATGTTTGGCTTGAAGGGGTCATTTCTTTTTGTGTAAGGTTTTTCAAAGGGCTTTGAAGCGCTCCATTTTGCAGGATGCCCAGACACGCCTAAACTGACTATTGGACAGGTTTCGTTGGCTATGTGTCCATATAGTATCCCTCCATGCAGAGCCTCCGCGTAGGCAAATCCGCTGAGTAGGATGGCAGCTTCCGTATTCCGGCCGAAACAACAAGATCCAAGCTGGCCAGCAATGGACCACGCCCAGTGCCCGTCCTGCCTTTGTCTCGCAGTGGAGCTCAGAGCAGAGTTAGCTAAGGACGCTGTGCACAGGGAACGCTGTGCAGCCCTTGGGCTTGACGCTGGGCCGTGGGTCCGAACGAGCAGTCTCCGCCATCAGGGGCTCGGCAATTTCGCGGCGGGCCTGGGCTTGTCACGTGCCAGTGGAGAGTGAGGGCTGGTCTCTCAAAGTTTTCTCGGGCAGCGCGTCATCCACTTCCTAACAAGTAGCTCGCGTAAATGGCACTTGCGCTGACGCGTTACGCGTGGGCAACGTTTCAATGAGCATGTCGGCAGTGTCGTACGTTTGTTTACGCGCCAGCCAAACACCCAAATGAGCAGTTGAACTGAAATCAATAGACCTCAAGGCAATGGTAAGCACTCAGACCAGAGCAAATACCACTGCAGCGTGTTTGCGCGGTGCCCTAGTGGTTTGCTGGTTGCCGGGTCTTGCTTCGTGTTGGGCCTTATCGCTGATGCTGTGGGTGGACAACATCGTACCACCAGCTTGGATGGATGAAGCCCCCTGGTGCACAGCATTGCCGTGTCACCTGTCAGGATCACCTGGAGAACCTCGTGGATGCCAAAGAGTAAAGCGGGCCTTCAACCGATCTATTCGGCCCCTTCCAGGTTGGTTTCCTTTTGGCCTTACAGCCATGCAACCGGGGGCCAGCCCCCTTTTGAGTCGCAGACGTTTTTGGTGGTTCCCGACATGCCGAAAGGCATGCCAGAGTCGCAGATTGCCAAAGCAATGCTGCCTTGCTGGGCACTCACCGATAGCTTCAGGGCCATGCTGCCAATGTGGGTGTGAACTAGGGATCCCCCACCAAATGCCTTGTTTTCGCTTGGTCTTCCTTTGAACCAACCTGAAAAGGGTACCCTCAACAAAGGAAAAACCCATGTTTCAGCTAGATGCGTTGCGGGTAGTGCCTCGCAAGCCCCTTCCTAGCAGCGCGTCAAATCAACTGGCTGGCGCTTAGTGCATGCCCAGAGGCTCCCGATGTGTTTAGGGCCTCAAACAGCCAGGCTTTGAGACCCCCAAACACCTCCGGGATGTCTAAGGGAGGGGTCGGGTCTTCCATTGAAAGCCCCAGGAGCCTCTGGGTGGAGAGAATTCTGTGCAAAGAACGCTGCTGGGCGACTGCCCCTGTGATTGTTGATGCTTGGAATACTGCGGACGGACGAAAACCATTCAAAAAAGCCACCGTTCACAAACCCTAGGTTTCTGATGATTTGATTTCCCTGTAAATGCCAAGCAACGGTATGGTTTCAACCATGGTCCCAAAGTGATGCAGGATTTCGTGCATCCACAGTAGTTCAGTTCACCTGCCTATTTCCTGCCCACAGGCAAATTTTCGGATCAGCTTTTGTGGCATCTGATTCAGGATGACGATCCCTTCATCGGCACTCTGGACTACATTTTCATGTACCTGCCCAAGCATAGCTCAGCTTGGGTGTTGAACCAACTTTACGCAGGTTGCAGCCCTGGTTATAAGGGGGCTAACCCCAGCTACCGCAGGTACAAGCATGGTTGCAACTGGATCGGTTTGCAATTCGCGATGCTAACTCAGGTCAAAGCATCCAGAGGTGCGCTTTGTGATTTGTGTGAGTCGCAAGCTGGAAAGCCTGCGGCCAAAGCATTTGAGTGTGTCTTCTTGTCCGGGAATCCACACAAAATGTGGTTTCCCTTTTGGCTTCCCTGTAGAAACAGCAAAAAGAGGTACCGTCAAAAAAGACACTCCCCATTTGGCTCTCGTGCCAGTTCCAAGATTCTCTTCTGGCAGGTTGGTCCAGCCAAATGGCGGCATGGGTAAGGACCCCTGAAAAGGTCGTTCTGCTGATCCTCAAAATTTTGAAGCACTTCCTCCAGGTTCCGTTGAGCCGTCAAAACGAGCTTTCCCTTTGTTGCGGACCCAGATGTCCCGTGTGGCTTTAAACATTTTGGCTACCAATGAAATTCCCTCTTCCCTTTGCATAGGGTGTTCGACGGGGACGAACAACATAAGTTGTTTTTGAGCATTCTAGACGCTGTGCCCGGGTCCGATGGTCCACATGACCACATGATAGCCGTGGGGGATGGCGGCGGCGGCTTTCTAAGTCCATGGCAGGTCTTGCGTGTGGACCCTCTGCCTACCAGCAACGTGTCCAGTCGAGGCTGGGCCACTCACTCCCAGCTTCGTTGAACATCCTTTGGGGCACCACTTTCTGTGACAAGGAAATCCCCCATGAATCCTTTAAGCGATGAAGTAGTGATCCTACATCGGCACAAGGATAACCATGCCTTCTAGTTTTGGGAGGAATCTAGGGAGTTTAACCCTCAGTTGCACTCCCTCAGAACATGGAAGCTCCCAAGCCTTTGATGGAACCAAGCCTTACGGGGTGGGAGCTTCCATGGAATCGTTTGGGCGAGGAGAACCCCCGGTTTTTCCTCAGTCCCTTGTGACCAACCAGCGAGTTGCCAGCTGAATCAGACCAAAGAACTCCATGGCTGAAGTTTGTTGAGGTTTCCCATCCAAAATGTGGCCCCCCAAGTCTTCCAATTGCTTAATATGAGTTTCATTTTGTGGGTTTTCAAGGGAATCTATCGCTACTTTTTTTTTCTTTTCTGGGGACTCAAAGCAGATAGAGAAATTTGGGAAACACTTCCCTTGCGTTTGCGTCATTTGGACTGAAATTTGTAGGCTCGCCTGTGCGCCCAATGTCTCATGTCCAGGTGTCAAGTGGCGTTAAGCTGGGCAAATTCTATTGGTGTAGGGGGGGGGGGGGGTTGGCCGCGCCACCCATATTTCCAGTCTGTGAATTGTCAAAGTTGCCTAGAAATAATCGTTCTTGGCCCATTTGATCACTTGTGCTGGAAGCTTCAATCCAAACCCTTCGCTCAAGACGGTTTCTTCAAAACCGTTGCTGGGGATCAGGGGAAATGCCTATTCCTGGCTGAGTGGGTCAAGGTAGATGGCACAGTTCGCCCGTGGTTTAGTCATCCCCTTCACGTAGCCACACAAACTCTCCCAGTACTATCCCGGTGCTCGTGGCCTCGTGTGCGTGCCTCTCAGCTCGGGTGGGTCAGGACATCTTCCCAATGAATCGGAACCTTCCGCCAGTGCCTTAGGGTGTACTCAGCGGTTTGCTCGCTTGGAAAAATCATCTTCACATCTTGACCAGGTCAAAATAGGCTAATTACTTCTTTGCTTTTGCTTTTTAAGAAGGCAGAGTTTCCCCCACCTCTGCATGGGCAGAATCCACTTCGGACCCGGCCGGTAGGCGGTTTCGCCCATTTTATCCCGGAAGGGTGTCATCATGTGTCATCCATCCCGAATTGTGCGGGAATTAAGTCCATCAGTATCAATCAAGAGCCCAAGACTTTTGCAGGGCGGATTGGACCACAAGCAAACGAAGTTAGGCTTGTCCCCCCCCCCCCCAATTTAGCGCTTCCCCACTCAACACGCAAGCCTCAGAGCGGAGTCGTTCTAGGAGTGTCGCCGGGCTGTTGACAGAGACAAATCCACATGGGGGGGATAGGGGTGGGGGTTCGTTTGTAGGACGTGCTTGGCACAAGACAACAACATCCAGGGACTTCTCTGCCAGCTTGCTTCTGAAGATTTATAGGTCCCTCTCTTTGCCGTCCCAGCCAAATCACTGAGCTATAGTTATATGTGTGAACTCTTTAGACCCCTTTAACGTAGTCTTCGGAGGGTTCCCTCGAAAATCTTAAAAGTTTGGATTTCCAGAAGTGAGCTACATATGTTCCAACACAACCAGCAAAAAAAAGGAAACCCAGCCCATATGTGTGTTTTTGTTTTGGGGGCAGAGGCAACCATGAATCACGATCTATACTATCCCCATCTACTCCTAGCATCAGTTTTCTATACTGCTCCTTTTTTCTTTACGCTTGTTTTCGCCATTCCTGGTTGTTTGTTTCAAGCGAACCCGTGCGCCGTGGGCCTTTCTTGGCCTCAAGGATCACTTGATGATCAGCGCCTGTGTCCGACCTCACGGGAAGCAAGCGCCGAAGGACCAAAGGCGGGGCACCCTTCGCTTTAGGGAGCGCTCCCGTTTTGGTCAGATTTCATATATATATATATATATGTGGGTATGGGTCAAAATTAAACCCCAGGGGACCGCAGGTTTTAGTCCATGTGTCCATTTGCCAGGGATCCATTTTGGGTACCTATGGTACCTATTTTTGACCCAGAGCCATGTGCCACCCGGGTCCGCACTAAATTTGAGGCCCAATCAGCACACTGCGCTTTTTCTCGAGGCTGCTTGTGTCGTTTTGCGATTCGCCCTCGCAGTCAGAAAGGGGGGCCTAACAGATATGTGGGGTCGTACCGCATGAAGGGGCATCATTTCATGTTTTGTTGGTCAGGGAAGTCATGGCAGGCGGGGCTAGTTGTTATTTTCAATTGTGGGGATAAACAACCCCCACGAAGGAGGGTCGTGAGCTTACAGGTGTTCATGCTATTGGATGACAGGCGCTTAAATCCACCAAACGCAGCACTTGACGTTAAAGACACCCTACGAAAAATTGGAAACATGGAATTCCGGGGAATTGTCTGAGCCCGTAGCTTCGGTCGCAAAATCTCTGAACTGATTTGTGGATGTCCAATTTGGTGACGAGGTTTTGAGCCCGAAGTTTCAAGGACTTCCTGTCCTTTGGGGGAAACGAGTAAGTCATTTTCACGGAAGGTCTTTGTGACCGAATCCAAAGGCGGAGAGACCTTTTGAGAGCAAATGGGTGTTTCTCGAAGTTGGGGATCCCTCTGGGCATTGTTTTAACAGGAAACCAAAAGGAAGCCAATCTTCTGCAGGGTCCCTAATCTTGAGAAACAATATAAGAGATGTGTCTTAAACCTACAATCGCTGATCCGCCTTTTGCTCGGGGGGAATAACAGCAGACCAGTTTTGACTGATTAGAGCTGCCCAGTGGTGCTTCAGGCAACCAGGACGCCTCCAAAGACCAGAGGCGAAAGTGGGCGGTGGTCTCAGTTCTTCGACTTTCGGCGTGTCCCCGTTTTTTTTTAGAAATTCGCAGCCTGAGGCTTCCAGCGGATAGTGTCGGGTTCAATTTGCCCCATCCAAAAGGAGGGGACAAGGAGAACCTCCCGGATCCGAAGCGCCTTGACATCAGCTTAGGCGTAGCCTTCGGCCGTGGGCGTAGCTTTGGGTCGAGCTTCAAGCGCGATAGGCAGGGCCTGCCCGCTCCGCCGCATGTTGCGGTGTTTCCGAAAAGGAGGCTCCAAACAAATGGGAAACTGGGAGTGTCTCAGAATAGGAATCGGACCCTTTTTTGGTATGGTTTTAAAGGGACACCAAAAGGATATCGCCTATGAAGAGGGGTCACCAATTTTGAGAAGCAGACGGGCTGCAGGAAGCCTAGTGAAAGTGCCAACGGGTTAAGTCACTGGGCCTAAAGGAAAATCTCACAAGGTTCATACTGTGCATGCACGAACTCCATTACCATCTAAGAAACCCTGGAATGTTGCTTTCCCTGCACATACCAACAAGCAATAGTTTCAACTATGGTTTCAAAGTGTTGCAGGATTTTGTCCATGCACAGTAGGATGTGTTGCCTGCGGATTCACTGGAAGCATAGG